CACTGCCAGCGACCAGTCTTAGGACTTTCTCTGTCATTGGCGTGATTGCTTGGGCGCTTTATCGTAGCTCTGCGACTTCGAGCATAGTGGCAGAACTGTCGGGCCGCTGCATTTCCATTTCTTGCGCCTTGGTTGATCTCGGTTTGAGGTTGTAGCAGCTGCTCCGGCGACACTAGTCTGATATGGTCAGCACGACCATTGGATACCGAAGGGGAGGAGTGACGAGATCTGGGTCGTTCTAATAATTGATTGGAGGCGTTTGTCGCATCCGCGAGACAGGAGCTCGCGCTCTGTAAATGCGCTCGATAATGTCCACGAACACGATCACTTCGACAGACAGTGGAAATGGGAGGTCTACCTAGGCACATATCGGCGGAATGCGTATCGTGCAGCAGGACAGTTCTACACACGAACTAGAACTTACATCATCATGCAGCAGAACAAGAGCTCGGTGCTTCCAAGACTAGATAGGTAAGTCTTCTCTGCGGTGAAAGCAGGTGAAGTTTTCCGGAGCTTGCAATTGAGATTTTCCACTCGAGTCGAACCGCCAAATGGACGCGGGGGATGAAAGGCTGGATCGAGGGTATATACTACCAGTTCCCACAGACTAGCGCAAATCCACCTGTCGTAAGTACTCGTGCTGTGGCAATGTTAGGCTGTGTCCTCGAACCCGTTCGAAGACTAACCTTAACTGCTAGATTGACATCACCGCTAACGAGGTGCTAATAGAAGGCGTGCGAAATTGGATTTAGGTGCTTGCTCTAGGCTCGAGTTCCAGCGGGAACGAGATTGCAACAAGCATTGCTGCAAGAGCCGCTAGATCTTGCTAGAAATCTTGTCGGGGACGCAAAAGACACTGCTCGCGTGGGCTTTCTCTTGTTAGCGAAGACTCCAATCTGCTAGTCGGTTATCTTACTAAGCTCAACAACCCTATGCCGGCTAACTAATATCTTTGTAGTAGATAGAAGGCCATAAGACAGATATAGGCAGTAGTAATCTGTTTGCCTAGATTTGCTTACCTAGAGGCATATCGGAGCTATCTAAGCGTCCTTAGAATCTAGATAACTAACTAGAGATTAATATTAAGAGAAGACTTGCTCTATAAGTTGTCCATCTCTTCATACACAAATGCAAGCATTCCACCATCTTTGAAAACTTAATAGACATTTACTACCTTCTTATGGATTGGTTTCCTAACACTATCAAACCCCTTGAAAGTTGTTTTCCATCTTACTAATGTAGAGTGTGTTTGCTTACTTAGGACAGCATCTTCGCTACTCGTACCCTAAGTCGAGCAATACCTTATACCCTCATAAATTCCATGGCGATTTGCGTATCACGCAGAGGCTGTAGCCGAGCACCATCTTCGTAGGTGCGGTGAGACGATAGTAATCGAAGTCCGATGCTGCGAGTAGTTGTGCACTGCATTTGCACATTGCTTTTTGAAGATTCGTAGGAAAATTCGCAGGAAGATTCCGGCAAGGGTACACATACGAACGCCCGTACAAATGAGACATTTCGCGCGGATACAGGAGATAGAAGGCGGGATCGCGCTCAATCCAGATCACGTTGCGCTAATCTCGCGGTAGAACTAAAGGACAGCCACAAGATATGATTAGGTGACCACAATGACGGACTAATGGACGCTACTCACGAAGGGCGGCGTTTCCGTGGAGCTTCAAGTGCCGCCGATCGACAGGGTCTAGCCTGGACGGAAGACGGTATGTCTTCCGATTCGTCGGGGCTGTTGGGAGTCTGCAGCTAGGGCACTGCGCTTCACCGGAATGTTGACTGCTGCTGCCTCCTTATTACCCTCGCTGGTGCTGGCCGTGATTGTGGTGATATTGCTTGGGCGAAATATAGGCGAGTCCGCGCATCGCTCTCCAACTACTCGGTACCGCCATTTTGTCGTGAACCTTCCCAGAGGCCCACGCAGGCAATTGCTGAAGACCGTGCGGCTGCCATACTCCATGGATCCGTATAATGGCTTCATGAATCCTGAGAGCAGCCAGCATGTGAACACGCGGCCATACCATGGAGCAGCCCCTCCACCAAATCCCTACCCAACCTACCCCAATCAGGTTACGTATCCCACTGCGCGACATGGGGGAGACCCGAGGCAGTGGTCACAACCACTGCATCCTACGTCCTTTCAGGTCCCAGGCTTGCCTGTCAGCGCCAACGCTGGCGGGCCACAATGGCAGCCAACGCTGACCGAGATCGAAGTGGACGGGCCGAGAGAGAAGATTAGACGTACTAGAACAGTGAGCGATGTATAAACCGCATGGCTCAGGTTAGCAAGACTGACAATCTACCAGGCATGCGAGGTAACTGCCGTGCAACGCACGACGTTAACCGAGAGAAGTATTGACTTCGTTTAGGAGTGTCGCAAGCGTAAGCAGAGGTGCGATGGCAGACGCCCATGCCGGCAATGCATGGAGCAAAGGATCGAATGTCAGTATCGCGATCCACAGCCGCCCACGTAAGGTGTCGCCTAGTACGAAATCGCCTCGTTAAGCTGATCTGCTGATTCCGACCAGGAAACAGAGCGGTATAGACCGAGCGATTCAGCTCGCAGAAGAAAACAAGCTGAGCCTAGCGATGGCGAACAACAACCTTGATACTGTATATGCCGAAATGGGCAGGGTCAACCGGCGTCTCGGAGTCGAGGTCGAAAGAAGAAGAGCAGGAACCCAGATAGGGGACCAGGGCGCCTTGTACCCAACAAATACATAGTATAACAGTGTGCAGGGGAATGTGCAAGACTACACTGAGGACCAACGTTAAGAGGATAAAGCGGCGTGGCGTACTTGATGATATTAGAAAGCGAAGTCACGTCGTGGCTAACAAATCTCAACATCGTTGTAGTAGTTAGCAATAGAACTTGCCAAGAACATTGAAATTCATGGAAAAAGAGTTCATTCGCCATGGTAAACAAACCAAGGACTCTGCGGCAGGTGTCACTGCAATTCTTAAGAGGTGGCCAAACAGGGATGTTGAAGCCGACTAGGGCGTCCTGCGACGGCTTTGTTGACTTCATTAGAACTTGTCGTGATTAGACAGGATGAATATCAGCACGCAGAATGCCTTGCAGGGCTGCGTATCGTCGCTGCAGTCGAGCATGCAAACGCTAGAGTCAAGCACCAATATTCTAGACTCGGGCGTAAACGATTACCCACGGCTTAGCAAGGTGTTGCAGACGACGAGGGTAATATGATAATTACTTAGTTAGTCGATCTCTCCCCACACCGAGACCCTGTCTGTTCCTATGTTTGCACTCCTTGTCTTTCCCTTTGCGGGGTACACAGCTGCAGCACCCGGCTACTTCCATCGGTGTACTTGTAGATTTTGAGTCTATTGGCAGAGATTCGATCGTGGCGCAGGCTGTCTCTTCGTCTTCAATAGTGATCGTAGGTCCTTGCCACTAGGGTGGAACAACGCTAACGAGGGAACGGCCACATTCTACTTTTGTTCGAAATGTGGCCGCTGTATAGTCCAAGGAAAATCACTCAATATGAGCCGGATTCATCGCCTGCAAAGGCGTGTCCGTTTCAACCGCAACAATTTTGAGGCTAGCAATGGTGCTAGTGGTGCTAGTAGTGCTAGCGGTGCTGGTGGTGCTAGGTGCTAGTATCAAACTGCAGTTGCATTTCTTGATTAAGAGATGCACAACTACTTGCTCTCTAAATCGCCCTCAAAAATACTGATAACTTCCAGGCCGCATCCATCACCTAGTCGCAGGCGTTCAGGCCGCGAGTGCATGCTAAAACACTGCAACAGTCATAGAAACTGTCCGGTCACACACTTGTAGCTATCAATGCCACCATGAGGCGCTCGCTCTTACTCCAAAGCCTATTAAGCACACTTCGTCTTGGAGAGTGTCGAAAGGTCCGAACTAGGCGCTGAGCGTACGTCTTCAAGTCACGCTGCTCTTGCTATAACGATCATTTGCTTCTGGCGCATGAGCGGGATTGTTTTAACGGTTATACGTGGGCGGCCTTAGGACTCCCTGCCTTTCGCTTCTGCGCAACTCGGACAGGCAGGAAGAACACTCCGCTGAGTAGCTTGATTTACAGGACAGATCATGACCTGGCCCTGTATTCTTTAGGGCTCCTCTAGGACTGTGTGTACATTAGCACAATAATTTTGACTAAGCTAGAAGGTCAAAAGCTGGTTTAAGATCTGCATGCAGCCTAGCACATGCTCCGCGGAAAAACCTGCTGCACTAACTTACGTATGCCCGTCGGACCGGTGCATGTGCTACCCAGCTTAGTCTCCCCAAACGAGAGACTTCTTGTGCTGACTTGGCATGATTGGGAAAGATTTGAGGCTTGCTGTAAAGCATAACAAGTTGCATTCAATTATGGCTTGCCATGTTCCAGGATCTGAGCAGATCCTGTGTCTTTGAGTGTTTAAATCTCACCGCGGCGCGAAGCGCCGTGTAACCACGGTAGTCAATGGCATCACTGTCCACCCCAGCCTGAAGAAGCGCTGCCACGACGCCATCATGACCCTGAATTGCAGCAGCGATAAGCGGTGTGGTACCGCCACATTCCTCCCTTGCGTCCAGTATCTGTGCTTTCTCTTGCCCGGGGTAACGGTCAGAAATGCACAAGAGAAGTTCCTCAACGAGCGCAGTGTGGCCTGATGCAGCCGCACAAAGCAGGGGGTTGCGCCCGTCCGAAGTCATGCAGTCGATGAAAGTCTCCTCAAAAGATAGTAAGAGCCGAGCGACATCGAGGTTTCCTTGCATCGCAGCCATATAGAGAGGAGTCTCACCCGACATGTTCCTCCAGTTCAGCACTTCTTCCAGCGTTTGGTCCTGCGCGCGCAGTGCAAGCGAAGCTACCGCACGGCTCCCACTGTACGCAGCCCACAACAATAACGGCCATTCTCCCTCACGCAGCGGACCAGGACTAGCGCGCACACACTGTACCGCATTCCCCCAGTCAGGCACGCGCACGGCGAATGTCATGTGCCTCGCTGCGTACACGGCTGCAATCGGTTCCAAAAGGTCTCGTAGATAAGCTGTGCGGGATGCGAACGGCAGATAGTCTGGAAAATAAGGTAAAAAAGTGTCAGGGCCTCGTGGCGCCGAGAAACGCATTTCGGGAAGGCACTCCCTTGATCGCAAGATATCCGCTAGCTGTGTGGGCAAGGGGTATGCCGCGAACAGCGGTAGAATGGAGCAATCAAGAGTGATGCGCCTCGCGCATTGTAATGCCACGTAGCTCTTGGGATGAACAACCATCAGTGGTGTGGTAGTCCATGGGCTGTCGCGCCAATCACTCATGGAGACAGTCACCGTCAGATCGTCTACAAGACCGTTGAAGATACGATTCCACTGCCGGTTCACAAGCGGAATGCCCATATTTTGAATGTCGGCAAGCCACGGCTGCTTCCCCTCGTATCGTTTTCCTGGCCGCTCATTGTAGCGTGTATACTCCACAGGGGCGGCTCTGTCCTGTACAGCGTACTCAATTACGAGGAGCAAAATCTCTTCGGGTAGGCTTCCGATACTGGTTTGAGGTATGTCCGCTTCAGTGTGGTTGTGTTCCGCGGTACCCTCCTCGCTGACGTGTGTCAAACATGCTGCTTGCATATGCAATTGAGCTCGGCTTTGGTCTCGGCCCTCTTCCAGATACAATGCACAATGGCTGGTCCACGTAGCTATGACTTTCGCTGCTCTTCGCTGGTCGAGGGTTCGAGTGGTGATCGGCCTCCAGACATTGACCAGCCTCGCTGCAATGCCCCACTGGTGCAAAGCGGCGTAAAGTGGGAACAAGAAGCTGTCCCCCTGACGCGTGCCATAAATGGCTTTTAGATCTGTGCGAAAGAAGTATCTTTTTGTGAAGCTCTGAGACACTCCTATAGTGGCGAATAATATCGTCTCGGGCAAATGGGCATAAGACTTGCTTACTAGGGGCTTGGAGTAAGCTATGATGTCCCATCGCAGAGTTCCGCCCACCAGTCGAGCCGCACCGTCGTCGCCTCTGGTTGCAGCTATATCATTTATTGTATTACCCGCACGCGGATCTGCAAGCTCAGGATGGAACAGCAGTAGTCTCGATTTAGTAACCACTTCACATATTGCAATATTCACGTCTGTGTCTCCGATTCTGTTGAGCTGGGCTGTGCGGATAAGGTATCGCAACGTCTTAGGAGCCACGTGGTTGCCTACTTTCGGTTAAAATGACGTCATATATGCCGTGCTTGCATGAGCGACTCATAATTTTCTTTCAGATGCCTCCTTCTAGGTTTGCCAGCTATGGGTACATCATCCAAGCTTGCTGTGAACGGTGTCGCAACTAGGATGGGCTGATTGACGTCGTTACAATTGGCCAATAAGACACACTAATCGCACAATGCCAAGACTATAGCTGCAGCTTCGTCATGCGTTCTGTGAATGGTTCTGCAAGCGAACGTTTAGGGTGTGATCTTATGATACTACTTACTAGCGCCGACCTGTGTTATCTAGTTTGCTCCGCCCGTGTTGACTTGCACCCTACCTTGTCACGACACCGCTCTGCCTCTGCGTCTACCAGAGGGGAAGCGAATTTGCTCCACGTCTAGCGCAGCGGCTGCTGAAGCGGTCATCTCCGTTTGCGGTCTGCGAGGACTTCTTCAACGAATGTAATAGTGTGCTAAGACGATTGGTACAGTGCCACAGCACGATGGTGAGACTAACTTTTAGTTTGACGGGTAGAGGGCATGAAGAAATGCCGGCGACGCAACGAGTGGGTGGGTATACAAAGATTTATGTAAAGCGAGAGAGTGTCACAACTGTTCGAGTCGTGAATCGACATGAACTTTGTCATCTTTTCTCGTGGAAATCGGATGCAATGTCAGTGTCATGACTTCGTCATCGACAGAAATACGCAACGATTTTGGCCACTCCATTTGCGAAGCAGCCACTGTTACCTGGTCCCCAAGTTCGAGATTTCGTGCATCTAAAGCGATTGCGTCGCATTGATGTTTCGCTGAGTTCACAGAGAACGAGTAGAATGCCATGACGAAGTCCATGCAATCGTCTTTCTGGTGAGGAGTATTTTGCGACCGCTCATTTAATGGGTTGTCATAGACCACGGTGAGGTCCAGTTTTGGCGCCCGTACTGTGAAATTTGGGGTTAGGCTTGCAAAACGTTTCCATAGTGGTGTACCATTTTTCAGTTGATGTAAGGTCTTGTGAGCCATCTCGCATTCGAGTTCTGATAGCGAGGCATGATCATGCCACGTCGTTGGCCGTCGGGTAGCCATGACGGTGCTATGTTCTCGACTTGCAGCTGTCGGAAGCCTGTTGAAAATATGTGACGGCGCCTGTTCAACGTCGGCTTCATGTGCGACAATATCTGAGGACGGTTGCCGTACACACGGCTCGTCAATCGTGCGGATGTTGAGTAAAGCCATCGCCTCTGTGGGTGCCGCATTTGAGCAGACAGTAACTCCAGAGTCAGCGGATCGGTTTGTGTAAGAGCATGCAGCGGAGGGAAAAATCGTGCTCTCAAACGGAGCCGGCAAAGTTCTTCGGGGTCGTTCCATCATATCCTGCAGTTGACAATCGACGACCTCTTCCAGTTTCTTCAAAGCCTGTCTCAAATGGGCTTGCCGGAGTGTATGGCCTTCTAGCTCTGGCAAGCCCCATTTCACGTAAAGTCTTCCATGAGTGGCAGGCGCGAGGTGGACGCCGTGAATCTGAAACATCAGATTGCAAAGAAAGCACGCTTTCTTACTCGAACTTATAACTCTCGGTTTGACCTTGGGCGCAAGCATCTCGTAGTGCCACAACAACTGGATCTCAGCATGAACGGGGTGCTTTGCAACCGCCTCGTTCTGCACAAACGCGCGCATGCCTGCTTCGTCCAGCTGCTTACTGCCGAGTTTTTTGCCCCAAAGGTTCGTTGACGACGTTGCCGTTTTTTCCGTTGAAGAACGATTAATGCGACAACTTCCTCAACTTTTCGAAGGTGTCATCGTTGACAAGCTTGCGGATGAAGAAGTAGCCTCTTTAGCTGCCGAGAGCGAGGCTACCGCGCTAGATCGCCAACATAATGTGGAGAAGCTTGCGGCACTTGAGAAGGCCATGTATGAGCTTCAAAGACTGCGTGGGCGCAATACAGTACCGAAATGTTCAGTAAGTGTGTCATACACAAAGTCAGAGAAATTTGCTGAAACCTTGCTAGACGAACCTCTTGAAGGTGTCAACGGTATTTTAGAAAGACCTCGGCAAAGTGAATCTCCATATTCGGAGAAGCATGATATTCGCACGCCCGATGTTCAGCTATCCGAAGTGAACACGCCAGCACCATTAGACGAACTCACAGCAGAAGAGCCAGTACCCGTGGAAGTCGAGATTCCTACGCCTTGGGAATCGTGGGGCACTTCTGTGGTCAAGTCTAAGAAGAAGAAAAAGCAGGGGTCCTCATGGGAGTGATGATCTTAATGTACCCAGTCTTGAATAGCGGTCGTGATGTTTATGGCGTCATACTACAATATGCTTAATTTCCCACTTCATGTCCTCTCATCTGGACGAGCTCGCTCTTGGATCTCCGCAGACCTTGAGTATCGAAAGCGGGCGAATCTGACGGTGGAGAAGAGAGGGGCCGACGGTGACATAATGCCATCCTGTTCGAACGATTATCAATGCGGGATGTCGCAATATTGTCGGTTTGTTGATGGGCCGGACAGAAGCTATCGGGGTATCATATCGACTGGCAAAAACTGTACGGCAGCTACAGACAGGCGCATCGTGCACCGTGACACGTCTTCCCCGCGTGCCGAGACGCATCCTATCCCGATATAGCAAGATCATCTGATCGTCGCCCCAGCGACGCCGCGCCACAGTCTCTTCCCACAAGGGGAGTGGGCCGCAGCGCTCTGTCATCGGAAGGATATTCCACCAAATTATCGCTTTCAAGCAAGTGATCTGCCACTTGATTCACGCCGGCTTACAGGAGCGACTTGAACACCGCATCTCGACTGATAATGTCGATTTCTCGGAGGGCAAGAGAGCAAGTGGTTCTTCCAACTCGTGCGCTGTCCTTGCATAGAAGCTTCTGGAACTCTAAGCACACACACACCCTCGCAAAGACAGTTGCGGAAGTTCAGAAGTGTTTACAGACGCAATCGCAGGCTTTGTAGTACACCATTGCCTTTCATATACAGACAATATGTTCTTCTACAAAGAGTTCACATTCCCCCGTAACTCTGATGTTTCCAATGCACTTGACAGTCTTAGAGCCGATGGCACTGCCAAACTCCTCGGAAAGATCCAGACGTCACATTTACATCACATCATTGAAGCTTCTAGGAATTCGACCAGCAAATTGGGCAGCCTTGACGGATCGGATTTGGCTCGGCTGAAATGGCTAGGAAGCTGCACTCATACGGAGCTGCTGATATTACTACTTGAACCGACCAAGGAATCCAACGCCACAATTGTGTGGATAGATTCTTTCTTGCGTTCGGCGACTGGTGGTGTGTTCACTGCTGAGAATACCGCCATCTTCAATTGCCGGGCACTTACTCCAAACGCCTCGTATAACAGGAGATATGAGGATAAGCATGCGTTAGTACTGATCGAGATATCTTCGCAGCCAGCGTCTGACTATTTCTACAGGACTGGTCAATACGGGTTGAGAGCTGTCACCAGATCGATCAAAGAGCTTGCTCCAGACGTTATACTCGTGTGCCAATGTAATATGGACCCTGGCGTGGCAACCCTGATACCACATCTAACTAGGCCAATGAGCGAGGCTGGAAAGGCGCGTCTCGTCAAAATCAATGGGAAAGACTGCTCGGTCGTCAATGCTTTCCATCCCAGCGTCTTTGCTAAAAATATCACATCTGGGAGTTTAGCAGGTGGAAAAGCAGTGATGAAAGCAGCTCTGCTCGAGTTTTGCTTTTTACAAGCAGTGAATCTGGCATTGGGGACCGAAATCGTGGGGTCGGGAATAGAAGGACTCAGGCGGATAGCGCTACAGTCCTTCGCCCTTGGCGATTGAAGTTCGCTCGAAGGCCTAGATAAGATTTCTTGTCGTGTGGAGATGGTGATCTGGAGGATGTCTCACGACGGGGAATTCGCAGAAGCTGAAGTTTACGAATCAGGTTTAATCACAGCTCATGGTGTTCAGAACGTTTGCACCGCGTAATGATTCCTAATGAATAGCATACTGGCGTGGTAATACTTACGGCACAAGATGGAACCCGACTAGAAAACCGAATGTCTCAAGCCCCTTCCTATACGTGAGGTCTGGAATTCAAAGCATGCGTGCAACAGGTACCATGAAGGTCGCTCCGCTGGACAGGTACTTTTCAATCGGTGCTTCGATGCATGAAGATATAGGCGAAGCCTGAGTGTTATAGCTATTCGCTGCAGTGGCCTGGCAAAGCGGCATATCCGCGATCTAGGCATCGTCCTTGCGATCGATCTTCTTTATCTTCCGCGCCTTCACTGCCTCTTTCGCAGCCGCCTTCTCCTCTCGCGTTGCTCGTGCTGCTATTAGACCTTCATAGCTCATTACTTTCCCCTTCCCCTTTCCCAGCACGGTTGACTTGGTAGCTCGCCGGATTTTGGAATCACTATTACCCTTCAGCAGTGATGACATCTGATCATGTTGCAGTGCGGTCTTCCCGTGGAACGTGCCTGTAGCCTTGGTGAGTTGTCTTTCAGATGTCTCTCGAGGGTTTGCTTGCTATCTTCAGGGAGGTTACAAGCATCCTGTACGATTATGTTCTGTAGCGACATCAGCGCCTCGAACGACACTGGCGTGAGCGGTGTCCGCAGATTCGCCTCCTGTACCGAGCCAGGCCTCTCCAGTCCGCCTATGTCTCGCGGCGTCCTGGAGGATCTGATAGATCTGGCAGTCCCGTCGGAGCTTGCAAGTCTCTCAGGACTCTCTCAGGATTGTATGGAAGTAGTTCAGCTTTACTCCATCCCACCTGAATGTTCCTCTTGGAAAAGGCTTTAACGCGGGCAGCATCAATCCGAGAGGTGAAATGCTGCTTGCCAATCATGCCAATGCCTGCCCTCTCCATCCGCTGCACGTTGTCGCGGTATGCTGCTTTAAAGGCGCGAAGACTACAACATCACAAGGCTGTAGCTTGTGGGACGTGTGGGAGGGTAGTTGACACAAGCAGATATTATTTGTGAAACAAAAATTCAATATCTTTAGCTATTCATGGCTGCCGAATCCATCGTAGATCAGCACGCGCGGCTGGGAGCCAGCTCGATCTTTGGTTTCGGGATGTTTATTGCAAAGAACTCCTTGGCTACACTACTTCCGGCCAATATCCCCACGTACTCGATGCATGTCTGCGCAGTATTCCAGCACTTCTCAAACAAAAGGCATTCAACCCTAGGACCATGATAACGGAACCAGCCAGATCGTAACCCGGACAGCCTCGAACTCCTCTGACGAAGTGTACGCAGTGGACCGATCGCATGGGAATACGCACTCTTTTGACTAGAGGCCTCATTGTACAGCGAAGATAGTACTTCGCGACTTTGAGCGGTTTGGCTTGATTATTTGGTCGGGGCGCGCTAATTTCGACGAGGGTGTGCAGACAATGGCATTCTCTTCGTGGAAGATGAATGGCGAAGCAGGGAAAGTGTACATAACCTCTGACCATGTCACTCTTTGGCACTGGGGAGACACTCGAGCTGTTGATGGTTGTCAAAGACACGACTTTGGCCGTCCATCGGGAACGGGGTTGTACCAATCGGAGAACAAGATTCTAGCACGAAACTCGAGGACTATGAGAAGAGAGAGAGGATTTATCTGTCGAGGTCCAGTGATAGTGATAAATGGGACTACTGTCTTTAACACCGTACACGCTTCCGGCCTCGGCCTTCTTCCTCCAGTAAGGCATAGGAGTTGTGGTCATCTTCCGTGTAGATCAGGCGTTGTGTTTCACCCACAACTTTCAATGAAAGTTGCTTGGAGTGCTCTCAGTGTCATAATCGTCAAATTCGGGAGTTGAGTCGATCGTGTCTGTTCTCGAATATGTCCCTTTGTAGTGTCATGTCTTGGTGTAAGTTACTCGATATACCTCCTGAACTACGAGTCCTTATACTTGAACATTTACTCCATCATGACGTTGCTTTACAGCATCGTGCTACACCTGCGGTCCTACAAACATGCCGACAAATCTACGATGAAGGTCAGTCTATTCTCTATGCTAAGAGCTGTTTCCGACTGGATACCTATTTTGGATATGGCCTATGCGAGAAGCACGACCGGTCGACACAAAGAGATTTAAGCTTCGCACCCTACGAAAGGGAAAGACACAGGGCTACGAATATTACCTCGTGGCTTCCTAGCGCATTACTTAAGGTTGGAAGTATTCGCATAAACCTCTTTCTCTACGACAATGGCGCAATACCACATCTTTCGGTCTTTCTCTACGCGCTTTGCGGCTTCCTAGCGGGCTACCAAGAAGCGAAGAGCCAAAGCATTCAGATTCATCTGACTACAAGTGAAGAGCTGTCTGGCTCGTACAAGGGCGAGGCGTGGAGTCTGTATCCCCTTGCGAAGCTTCCGCCAACAATTACGATAGCGGTTACCGGCTTCTTAGAGGTTTCGCAAACCACCTTAGCCGCGTTTATGGACCATCAACATACGAGGAAAGATGTTCCCGAAGCTGCTCGGTTTCTTACTATACGCGAATATAACGCTATAGAGTCGCGAATCCAAGCTTTGCGTGAAGCCCTGGATGAGATGAACATACAGGACCAGGCAAATCTCGAGGAGTGGTTGGACGATGTTGAAGAGCTCCAATCCTACACGAAAGCAGACTTGGACATTGGTTCAGATAGACGGCCTATGGTATTCGGAATCCGGTGGGATGATGCAGCGATGCGTCGACTGAAAGCTGCATCAAATGTTGTCGCGCAGCTGGAAGATAACCCGAAGGTTGGAGCAATCGACAGTGATAGCCTCTACGACCAGTACTTTCCACATACCGGCTTGGACTATAATGGAAGCGTCAATGATCTTTCTGGGATATGGCCTTCGCTCATGTCGTCTGAAACGACCGAATGGCTTAGACAGAACGGCATTAGCGGCTGAGCTTCGCTTCGCAAGGCGTTGACCCTAGAATGGTATAGTAACTTGAGCTTTGGCCTTGAATATCAATTCTGACTTGACACAGGTTATATGAAACGAGACTGGCAATATTCTGTATCGGCAGCGAATTGTTGTTGTCGAGCAATTACTGGGCACATACCGGGTGTCGTTGCATAGTGTTCGTGGGATCTCCGCAATGAAGGACACTGCACCAGCAATGATGGCCTTCACGTGCTCAGTAAGCGCTAGATGTCCGCGAGCGGTCAAGAACATTCGGTGTGTCTGTGCAGCCTAGAAGCAAGGAAGTACCCATGCGAGACTGAGTGTGGCTTGGCCAGTTTTCGCATTGGGCATATTGTGCAGGAGAGGCTACAAGGTTGAACTTCATTTGTATTACTAAATTTTCGAAGCTTGGCCGACGTCCTGAAGCTGGAAAATTTCTATTCGAGCTTCAAGTCCCCCAACGTGTTCACAGGCTGCCCTGAGGAGTTCTCCTCGCAGACCCTCTCGTAGCTGTCGTCCGACTCACATGTCCAAGTTCATTATCAGCCTCCGAGTTGTAGCTTCATCCGCGTCAGAGTCGTCGACATCCGCAGAGAGTCCTAGGTCCTTCTGACATAACTTACACCCCGTTGAACAGGTATAGAGCTCTCCATCGGCTGACGGTGTTGATTAACCTCCGGTATCATGATATCCTCGTACCAACTAGGTAACTACCTCTGCAGGAGTTACTTCCCACAACTCGCTAGTTACGTCCCTCCCTACGTTACGAGCCACCCTCCGTACAGAGGACTGCGACGGTGAGACACGGCCTGAAACTAGATTGAAGCTTTGTTATTAATCTGAGATAGGCTTATGAGCGGTGCCGATGGCAGGAATCCATGTCACTCCTGTAAGGAACAGGCAACTAGGTGTTACTATCGTAAAGTCTTGCCTACTAAGTATGTATCTCATATCCTTCGATCAGTAGCTAATGAGCTTATCTAGCAGGGAGAAAGAGTCCATTAAAGGCCTCGTCGCCCTCGTTGAAGGCTATGGCAAGTCGATCGAAGCTATAAATCAACGTCTCGACGACATACTCCGCCTGTTGGAGGCCGGCTATTGCGATGCTGGCATCGACAGACACGAGCTTTACGCACGAATTGTGGACAAACTTCGAATGTGCGGGCACGGCGTCAGATACTTTGGCTCTGATAAGGGCGGCTCCATGAGCGGTTCGAAGCAATGGCAAATCATCGTGGGTGTCAAGACAGGGGTGGACCCCCAAAGAGCAACATGTCTAATAACATCGTAGCTTCTACAGTACTAGCGAGACCTCTATATGAGAAACAGGTGTGATGGAGTGGAGCTAGTTCGTCAAGTGCTATACCAATATTTTCCGCTTCGATTGTAGATTTCTTCAATGGCGGAACAGGAGTGACACTTCAGGACAGAGTTGTATTCGTCAAGTATTAGTGTCGACTGGCCGAGTACCGTTGTCTTGCCATGCACAATAGCCTTGATGAAAGCCGTTGATCAGGCGAATTCATGCCCCACTTTCATTAGACTTCAGCACGGAAGGTGGAACGATGCTTCCTAATGAAGGAACAGAACCAATGATAGTCGCACACGGTTCCACCGCCTCCTGGAGTGTGAGCGCAGAAGCCTTGGCGAGAGCCTTATTGAGCTGCGGACTTTCTCTTCGTCGATCCCCTTAAGTCGCCTCGCGTAGGCAACATCGTGGCAGTCGTTAAGGCTTTGTCTCAATCAACAATTCCTCTGGTATTCCGAATTCATCTGGTACCTGTCTGCCTCGGCATTTGTGGAGGCTCCAAATATTCCCATCACTGGAATCGGTTGTTACCCAAGAGCATGGTGCCTCATGATCCTCAATATTGCGAGAGCTGTGATATCGTAATACACGCCAGGCACAAGATTCCGACATCATGAGTCCAGCAACCGCCACCGCCAGCGTCTCGACCTTCAGCCGCTGAAGACACATATCTGCGTGGGATGTAATAGCGGCTTCGCCACCGGATCTCGCCTTTGGGGACACAAGAAGCTGGGTTCATGCTCGGCAACAGAAGCCTACCACAATCGTGCTGTAGCCGTCCACGAGGCAAACGAAGCAACACATGCACCGGAACGCCATGTGACCGGATCTGCTGACAAAGAATTCAATAGCTGCCCATGAGATTTTGGCGACGCTCTCACCGTCAAGAGTACAGAAGCAAGTCGTTCCACGACACACAATGGCCCGTTGCTTGACGAAAGGTACTCTCCAGTGGGATCTTGTCGTGTCCTCCTCATCCCATTCGTCTGATGCTATAGTGATGAAATTACGTGTGACATTTCGTCCGATGCAGCCCAAGCTCTGCATCGCTCATACTCCCGTACCCTGTGAGAGTTTCGATAAATTTCTTGGGCTCTTCGTGTGTATCGAACTCGCCAGAGCTGTACGGTCCAGAACGGTCAAATATCCAGAGTTCCATAACCGTGCCCGCGTATGGTAAACGCATGTAGGAAGCTGTACGGCGGACACATCACGCGCATATCGCGCATATCGCGTTAGCTGGAGCAGAAGTGGTTTGAAGTCATTTTCAGACTGCTTGAGTCCCCCGATGACACGGACATCTTTACAGTCGTGTTTGGCACTTTCATCGATATCTTCAGCCCGCTTCTTCACCTCTACGCCCCCAAGGTGCTTCGTCTGTGTCGCTGCATGAAAGATGCTTGGTGAACCAGACAGGAACTCCGCCTGGAGTCGCGAGAGCCAGTCCCACAAATCTTGTTGCGTAGCCCGGTCTGAGATGCAGGTCCATTAATTCGAGCTGGACCATGTCTCCTTCTCTTTGTCTTCGTCTTCATGGAACGTAGTATGCGATTGCTCTTTCTCCCCCAGCTCTTAGCATCGAAGTATTTGTCGAAAAAGCCATTCACATGAGGCGATACGTACAGTGTTGAACCTCGTAGAACAAAGCCGGATCGAAGATGAGGAGCGGAGGATTGGTGTATTGTCAAAGGAGGGGCGCTTGGAGGCGGCGTTGAGGTAGAGAGACTGCTGACGAGACCGAAGAGAGCTTCCCATATTTCGACGTCGGGTCGTTGATCTAGGGCAAGGAGTGACGGAGGGCGAAGATATTCGGCGCTAAATTTCTCCGTCTAGATGCGTCCAAAAAGTGGTGACAGTTTCGACGCAAGGGTTCCAGTATCCCCTTTCACTTTGGAATCGGAGGCTGCTTTATGCAATTAGAAGGCGCGAAGTCACCTTCTGGACGCTGCCGATCTCTCGGCATTTCGCAGAGTCGCTCTCACAGAGTCAAGACTGTCATTGAGCGGACACTTTGTCTTGATCTATGTGCGAGGAGAAAGAAAACAGACCCCGCGATGGAAGAGGCGTGCGGCTTTCAAGTCCTGGCCGCCAAGCGCCTAGTGGAGAGACACGCGCAATCACGTGATTGAAACAAGCCACATCTCAGCCATGCTCGGTGCGCACCGGTCTTCGTTATTATTTACAGAGGAAGGAGGCTTTGTGCCTGAAACGCTCGGCTCGGGTCGCAGCTTGTATGTAGCTATAGGTCGCCGTAAAGCTGAGCCGAGAATTTGCCCTCCACCTCCATGACCAGCTTCTGAACCCTAAGAGGGACTTTCAAGATAACGCGATGACCGTCCCCACAACAGAATCTGCAACGAATGGACAAGCGCAGATACCCGGCTGGGACGTTTTCAAAATTCAAGTTGACTCAGTGCGCTCCGTTTGGAACCAACTAGATCACGGAAGAATATATGTCACTGGCTCTAGACGCCATGCGCCACATGATAAACTCTGGAGCTGGGCAGAACACGAGTATGGACAATTTCAGCTACAATTGAACCGTCTGTTGGAAAACGACTACAGGTTCCAAATAGTAAGTTCTGAGAGCTATCCTGGAGAGGCGCATTATCGTACAGTGTCGCCGCAGGCCTTCTGGCAGATCTATTTCGAGGCTCTCCCACGCATATATTGGCTAGCTGTGATTCATCCGCTTCACACACCAGATGGATCTCGCGGAAAAGTCAGAAAAACAGACGTGATCCGTATGTAATTCGCATCCGCGCCTGGATAGGGAAAAGCGTCAGTGTACCGCTCGAAACATGGGTATCAGAAAGTAGAATGACGAATTTGGTCCGCCTTCCCCAATAGAAAGGTCGCTAGCACGTAGTAATGGTAGGGCGAAGTAAGCGGAGATATGAAGGGAGGCAGTGGCATGAATGCAGTGAGTCAGGGAACTTTGGCCGAAAAGTTGATGTCTTCGTTAAGATCATTGTTCGCAAGAGAGTAGTGCGGCGACTGCCAAGCTTCGCAGCTTGCACATCAAGGCATGGTCCGTGCTCGCCTTCACCGATGTCATCTTTCTCCGAAATTTTTTGGAACTTTCTTCTTTCTTTTCTTTCACAAGCAATGGATATCTACCGGGATAGTGTCGTCAACCTATTAGGACAGCCGGGTCCTAAACACAAGCAAGTAGCTGATGAGGCCACTTCTACTCCTTTAAGGCTGCATGACGAGACTGCGCGATTTCTTAAGAAATTGCACAAGCTAAAATCCACAGGAAATACGCTCGCAGACTATGAAGAACTACGCGACGAAGTCATGCGCCAGACCGAGCGAGTTTCGACACATATTGTGATATTAGCAGAAGTCATTCGAATCGTTGCCATCGTAAGAGGTTGGGAAGATGAGGGTCTGAAGCAGGCAAGCTCGGATCACAAGTGGGTTGAATTTAAAGCTATCGCGAAGGCTGTAGAGGATATAGAGGGTGGCGGGAAGAAGAGGAAAGAGCCTGGTGGAGGTGTTGACCGGAACGAGAAGCAACGCCAGCGAGACTTTGCGACCATAGCAGCCTTGTGGTCGCCCAAATTGGTTGGGCACTATGGATGGGAGACTGCGAGCTATGCGCACATGCGATTGCTCCGTAAATGCGCTCGAGCCTGCCCTGATTTTGCCGAGGATTTTCTGCCTTCCGCGAATACGGTATTGGTAGCACGGCAGCGAGCCTCGCTCCAGAACAGCAAAGTGAAGACTATCAAAGAGACAAGAGCCTGCAATACAAACACCAGATGGCCGAGCGGGAAGCCCAGCCCTGCTAGTCGATGCTCCCTGACATTTCAAGATCTGCATCACGTGTCCGATCTAGTTGAGAAAGGTGAGGTGGAGATGTATGGAGAGCAGCTCTCGCGGTCATCCGTGGACCTAGTCGACCTGGACTTGTGGGTCACTAGCGAGGATGGCGAGATTCCGATCGGGGAAGATGCGACTCTATGCAGCTTGCGGCCTCAGCACTACAGACAGTACCTGCTGCAACCCGACAACTTCGGCCTGCTGCAGGACAGAAAGGATGCAGAAGACGTGATGCCGAAGAAGAAGGCATCAGTGATTTCGAAGAAGAAGGTATCAGTGATTTCGAAGAAAGCATCCTCTGTCGATAAGTCATATTGGCAAGCCACGAAAAACCTGTCTAGAACAGGTCAGCCTTCGAAAGGCACAGTGAGATCATCCACGCGCCGAAAAGCACTTACGCCAGACACTAGAGCCGCGGATCAAGACCTCGAGGCAGACCCTGTGATTGATACGACCGCTTCGCATAGCCATATCACTCGGCAGTCTTCCATTAGTACTCTAACCCCACTTACATCTGCTGAATCGTCGCCTGAAACAAGTTCCGCGAAATCCTTGAGAGTCTTGGATCCATTCCAGGTGCACCAAGGGGCTTTAAGCATCGAAGAGAGCCTACACAACAAACATCACGAAGAGATCCAGCTCTATGCAGCGAAGCTGCAAGACGAGTCTGATCAAAGCGACATGCATAGCGTGCGAGCCGCGTGGCTGACCCAGGCCACGAGATGGGCCAGCATCTGGACTCCGCCCGAGTGCGGCCTTGGTTTTGGCTTTGCTTTAGCAGAGGAAAGTGCGGATGTCCATTACTGCACTTCGGAATACTTCCTGCAGGCGGGCAGGCAGGGCGATGTGTTCACCAAACCTATCGTCATTAAAGAGGCATTCTCAGACGGTGGCATGAACACAGTCCATAATTTCCGATCACTGCTCAGGGATGCATTCCACAACAAGGCCCTAGACATTCGACCTCTTGGCGCGAAACAGACAGAATCAGTGTCTACATTAGACTTTTTGACGCGACTTGACCACGGGTCAGGAGATAACGCTCTCAACCTCCGTGACTTAGCCAAAGCGCAGCGGCCGGCCTTCACTATGATGCCGCGGTTTCGTCTGCTCGAGACCCTTGCAGAGAGTTGTTATGGTGAGCCAGGCAAGGAGGTCTGTTCCAGACCTGTTGACGTTGCCAGCTGTGGGTCCTTTAATATCCTCGGTCAACGTGGTGCATTCTCTGGCGCTCATGTCGACTCCCTCGCAGGCACATGGGTCCGAAATCTGGATGGGCTGAAGTACTGGATGATCGTACCATCATCCGACATGGGGAGCGAGGTAAGTGCTTTCTGCGAGCAAGGCGACAGATGGCTGCCCCATGGTAAGGAGCGGCTTATTCTCCTCGAGCAAGATGATGTTCTGCTCATGCCGCCTGGTCCGCCTCAGGTCCATGCTGCTCATTCTCCACGAACGTGCCTTATGTCTGGGGGAATGCTCTGGGACGAGCTCAACATCCTCTCGATTCTGCATTCGCTGGTGTGGATAGGCCAAAATCAGCAGGCCACAAATGAGTCAGTGGCGTACCAGCTTCCCGGCATCATTAATGCGCTCCAGAACCTCGTACAAAGTGATAGCGCCAGATTTAGCAGCCACTATCCACCCGGGACGTTCCAAAGGAAGTTCGAGGACGCTTTACAGACGTACAAAGCTCTCGGGTGTAGTTGCGCCACAAACGAGACTGAGATCTGCCCTTGCGACGCTGCCGGCCGCAGATGCACTGCACAGTGTGCTGGACATCCCAAGCTACCAGAAAGTTCCCAATTCGATTGCATGTACGAACAAGCCGAGGAGGATGCCTCACGCTCGCAAAGGAGGGGAGCTTGTAGGCGTGCTTGAAGCTATCATCGGGCCGTTGTCATCGTGAGTTGTGTGTTCTATCGGAAAGCACACTTTCGGTATGCATTTCAGCCAAATGATCGCGAATGGAACGATGAGAAAAGGTGATGACCAAGTGTAAGGAGAACAATACCATCAGGCACACGTTTCCATTGTTTACTGGTCCCGTATACATCAACGTATTTAGACGACCTACTTGTGCCTGCGTCTCACTACTCCAATTTTGGAACGGGTTAAACGTCACCGGCATCGCGACCCCTCGAGCATCGTAACCTGGGGAGCATCGCAACCTCACGAATTGGATTGTATTGATCCACAGTATCTCTCTGACCTAGGGTTAGACCCTCCGTACTTTCTCCACGACACGTTGGCTTGTGCGTTGGCTTTGAGAGAGGACTCCCAGCCAATATTGCGGCTCTCGATTCTCAAAGTACATATTCCAGTAGTATGCCGGCAAGTCGCTGTGGTAACAGAATGACTTCGATATAAAGGCCTCCGATGCTCTGTCATTTTATCGACACTGCCACAGGTTCAGGATAACTGATATCCTCGGCGAAGAAAAAGTCGTTTAGCCAGATCCTTTTGCTGCAAAGGTTCACAAGGATGCCGGCTTGCTTTTTCATTGTATTACTCTTTTCCTAGTGGACAAGAGGACGTATAAACAACAAATGGCCGTCTACAGCGGCCTTGCAGCTCTCTTCCCAACTTAGATTTATATGGTTATGCCACCTCGACATTGCGGCTTCAAATTAGTATAGCTTCGCTAGCAGAACCGCCCAGTCGTCTGTACTCACAACCTTCTCAACCCACAAGCGCTTTTTAGCTTCGACATCCCCATGCTATCTCTTCACGCACAGAGACACGGAGCCTTGTCTTTTATAATCCCCCTGATTACTGCTGACTCAGCGATCAATTCGTCTCGCTGAGGCAGCAAACCTGTAAACTAGAAGGAAACTGCGAATATCTGCGTTGGCCATTCGGTCTCTCATCCGACCAGAGGGAGGTCGGAAGCCTACATCCTACAGCAGATCGCGGAACGTTTGCTGCTTCTCCAACACAGCGGTCACACGGTGCACGTTTACTGGATACCGTCGCATGAAGGCATCGAGGGCAACGAGGCAGCGGATATTGCAGCTAAGGAAGCAACAGGATGGCGCGCTGACGAAACCCGCGGGGCCCAGGCAGATCCGCCGGGCCAATTATATCCTCTCAAAGCGACGCTCAAGATGTGGTACAAACAATGGCAGACAAGTTGTAAGAATGAGACCAGGGGTCGCGCAGCATTCCGCTGCGCACCAGTCCCAACCAAGAAGGTGTTCGAATTATACAGTGGCCTCACTAAAAGCGAGAGTGCTATGCATGTACAGATCCGAACTGAGAAGATCGGGCTCAACGACTTCCTCTTCCTCTTCCACCGGCAAGTGCCCGGTATCCTGGATCCCATGTGCCCCTGTGGACACGGCCGACAGACCGTACGACACGTCCTCCTCGCGTGCAGGAGGCACAAGGACGTCCGGAAACAACATCTTAGCCGGTCTCCAGGATGCACCAATCTCCGCGCGATTTTGACGAAGCTTAAGCTAGCCACGAAAGCCATCACACTCATGGAGCAAACGCAGATCCTTGGGCGTAGCGGGATCACACGCGAAGAGACGACGCCGGGCGTTGGGGGGAGACTGTAGGTAGGAGGACGGCGAAAGACGAGGCATAGCCTATAGGAACCTAGAGAGACGGCATTAGCAGCATCAGAACCACCGCCTGCGTAAGCTTGGCAGGCGACCCCAGGCGGTGGTTGAGGAGAGAAAGGGAGGGTGTCGGAGGCAGCTGGCCTTTTGTTTACGTGACGTTGCAATAGGCGAAGTGGGGCGTTCCAAACAAGGTAAGGTCTGGAACGCGTCGCCTGTCAGCCAAGCCCTCTCATCCGGGCATAGCCGCAGACAAGAAGCGGCTGAAACCGAGTAGGATTTGATCAATCAATCATCAATCAAGGCCGGCGACGAGGTCCTCCTGTACGTGGTGCCGGCTACGAACCTTCGACTGTCGCAGCAGTCGGAGAGCCAAGAGATCTCAAACACAGAACAACAGGCGCTGCCTTCCGGGCGCCTGCGAAGCAGTGTGAGAACTTCAACCCGAAGAGAGACATGACAATACTCTTGGAACGCCAGGAGCCGGTGAGGGCTCTTGGACTGCTAGAGCACGACAAGCAAGGTCATCAACACGAGTGAGCGCAGCGAGCACTGCCCCGACAAGCTATTCTGCCGGACAGCCGGCGTCTATGAAGCCCCACAGATACCACGACAACCGAGAAAGAGATTTGGTGGACCTCGAGTACGACCGTCAATAACAACGAGAGCGGACTGTAAGACGCCTACGAAGCAACAACACACGTGGAGTAGACGACGCCTGCAAGGCGGGCAAGAGGGGAGTCGGGGATAGTGCTCGAGCGCGAGCTGTATGGAACACAAATCAGAAGATCATATGGCGGAGCAGGACGAAGGAGACAAGACCTACCAAACCACAGCCAGACAACTACAGACAACACAAGCGTGTCGCCTAAGCTGCTGGGCTCTCCACGGCTTCTTGTCTTTCGCGTTGGCAAGGAAGGGTGTGCCAGGATCCATTAGTACTTGTCAGCGGCGAAGGCTTGGATGGATGCGAGAGGATCAGGACAGCGGGCGGTCACGAGAGGAACTGCTCATGGTATCACAGCATCCACGTTCAACAGGAGCAAGTGTCGCTTTCAAGCGATAGTCACGGGACGGCTGCGAGTCACGGGGCTTTGCCGAACACTACAGATGGAAGGGGGTTTTCACCCGGGCCGCGGTCATCCGTGGCAACGGTTTCCTTCTTCGAAGACAGATAAATAGGAACAACCCGCATGGACCCACAAGGGAGCTATATCGGTGTAAGAATGAATAATAATAATAATCAACAAGGCCGAAAAGGATGGAGCAGATGGAAAGGATGGTGACGAGGACGGCGACGAACTCGCTGCCTAGGAGTAAGTACAGCGAAGAACTAACAAGGGATGACGCGGGAAGTGGGAATGCAGCGGCCCGAGGAAGCCAGCCTCGAGCCGAGACGCGTCCACGGAAAGCGTCAACTCTAACCCGACCTCCAAACAACGACGCAGGCATCTACGAAAAGGCACTACAGTCCGACCTCTCTATAACAGTAGCGCCGGCTCATCCTAATTATATCGCTATAAGGAGGTATCGTTATATAAAGATATCACGTGAGTTGCTCTTGGCATTCACGTTGCAGTGAAATACGTTGATATATGCTGTTGTTGAAGGCCTGTAGCTGCTCTTTGCTGGACAACCTTCTCATATTTGTTAAGGCTCTGTAACCAGCTACTGTTGCAGTTATCAGATTGCTCTTCATGGAGCCGTAACTGCCTTAATAGCTTGAGAGCCTGTAAGGCATATATTCGTGGCAGCTCTTCAACTTCATCTTGATCTGATTCTTCCGGAGGCGTAGGCTCAAACTGCTTTAGCCTGGCGGCGCGAACACCCAGCAGCTAGCTGCGCAGGCGCCCGAAGCATATATTAGAGGCCTTGCACTTTTCATAGAACACCATTCATCCTCGCTCCAACAGCCTCGCCGGTCCCGGAGGGGCCCACCATGCCGTCGCTACACGCCTCCAGATCGAAAAGGGACTACACCGCCTTCAAGAGTCGTATGCAGCAACATGGTCGTCACGAGAGCCCCAACGCAGAGTCGACGGTGTCAGCCCTTAAGAACATTAGCATATGGTGGCAGAGGCACGCGGACCCGACTCACGAGCTGGCGTCCTAGCAACGCTTACGGTCAGCAGTTGCTATGTCGAGCAAGAGTATGAAGATAGCGACGAAGCTCTTCGCGACGCAGACACGCCCGAATTCAAGACAGTCTTTCAATAGTTGGTGGACAACGCGAAGAGGGAACCTTAGCAAAGCGTTCACGCTTAAGCAGTACTTTCGAGTGCTCAAAATGCGGTATAAGGACTTGACCGGAAACGACCTTGACAGAGAACAAGTGATAGACGTGAACAATGTAAGCCACCACGTACGGCCGGCTGTCTTAGAGTCGTACTGAAGCTCAACTCGAGTTCATTAATCATTATGTCCAAAGCAAAGGGAAGACCGCACCGCGATCGAAACCAGTTGCGTCCGGAGAAGACTTTGTTAAGATAGTTCATTTCCATTATACAAAGGACACCGCCCGATATGAGAACGAGCGACAACGAGTTTAGCAGGCCTTTTTGATGATTATACATGTTAGTAGCGGTCTGCGCCCCAGCTCCATGACCCGCACTCGTGCAACACGACAGGCCAGTGACAAAGAGCGTCGGTCGTCAGACTGCAATGCGGAAGATGACAGCGGCGAGGAGGATGGCGAAAACTCAAGCATGGACGACGCCGTCTCTAAGCTGCTATCGAGATCTGCAGTTGTCCGCCATACGTACCAAGAGTGGGATCCGATACCTGGTCCAGCCAAGATTTCGTCACTTCGAAGGGGAGACGCGAAGGGCACAACGGTCGGTTCTATCACCGCGATATCATCACAGGATAGGCTGACTAGCGATGTAGCAAAACTTTTCAGTGGCCCGATCAGGATGACGTCTTGACTTTTCCCGTCTCGCACCTGCTCGCTCTTGCGCTCCATGACAGTGCATTCGCTGCAGGCATCAACTCCGCCGCAGACTTCTTCAAGATCGGATTCCAGACGGCGACAACATGCTGCCATTCCCGTGGCGCCGCGAAGTCCTCGACATCCCTGTCATGCGAAAAACACCCGACTTGAAGGCTTAAGAGTTAAGCAATGGCGCAACACTTAAAAGACTCTTAAAACTTGGGAAAAATATCTGTGGCTACAAAGAATCCTTGACCTGGTACTGTCTGCGCCGTATGGTACTGAATGCAGTCGATGGCATAGGTTCTGAAGAAGCACGTAATCAGATCTCTGGCCACCTGGACAGCCGTACGTACCGGGCACACTATCTGGACCAGCACATTCACATCGACGTGATCGCTGCAGTCAAGGGACGGAAGGGTGAGGACGAGGTCATACGCAAGGCTAATAGCAAGATCCAACCGTCCACTGTCGATAGAAGATCTCGAATCAATCGACAATCTACCAGAGATGGTTGAAGCCAGCGAGGCCTTCCAGACTGCTGCCTCAGCCGTCAAAGATGAGTACGAGTTCATCGATATCGCTCCTAAGGACGGACCGTTGTATCAAGCTTACCACCGGGCTCGAAAAGCTCACCGGGCTCTGAAGCAGCGGCTGCAGAATCAGCTACAGGCATATCATCGTCAGGCCTACTTCGAGGACAAAAGCCTCGCAGTGATCGAGGCGCAGCTTCAAGACGTGGTTCAGCGGCCTACTCTAGAGATTGAGGAGGAGCACCACCACCACATACCCGAGCGAGCATATTTGGCAAGCTTGGCAAAGAGCGTAGAAGATATCAGGAAACAGCCACTCAGCCAGCGGGCAACTGCTGTCCACGCGCTGGCTCAACTGTGCACCTTGGTGGAAGCAAGGCCGACGAAGTCTCGCTCGGCGTCACCGGGAACCGGCGGGACCAAGGCCAATTGTAAAGAATCCGAAGTCGTGAGCTTTCCGATTGAGTGTCACAAGCTTCAGTGTCTATTCTGTATCGGAGACGAAAGACTGTCATTCAAGGATCAAACGCGACTCTTCTGTCGGGAACAGAAGTTATGGAATCACACGAAGAACCACCTCGACCCAATCCAGCATTTGAGCGAAGTACACTGCCCACACCCATATTGCCGCCGACGACCTGTAGCGTTGCAAGGCATACAGCACCTCAAGAACCACGCGTATGCTGTGCACGGCATCAGATTGCAGAAGGCTTGATAGCAACGTCTAAGTATTAGCTGCAATCTGCGTACTTCCACAAAACGAACTATCCACCTCTGCTAGCACCGAGCTTAGGGTGTACACCTCGATCTTTCCATCAGGACCTGACTGCCTATTGAGCTACCCCCGATTCCCTGCTTTCCTTCCCTATTCAAATTTGTCCGCGAATACCCAGCTTTCCATCGCCTGTGTTTAGCAACTCAGTTTCGCTGAGCCTTTGAGATCTCAAGCAAGGATTGTCAATTTGTTTGAGGAACATCTAAACGTTGAGAGCTTTCCCTTGCGCTGCCGGAGCAAATCTCCCAACCAAGGCTGTTGTCTACCAACATTCGACCTTGTCTGCACTGGAAAACATATGCGGCGTACTCTGTTTGAAGGCTTGCGTGTTTGGAATTGATACGACAGGCGTCGCGGATTACGCCAGCAAAGACTATTGATGCGGTCAGCCATGTCTCGCATGTACTGGCAATGAGCGCGCTCGACAAGCGGATTGAAGTCTTCGACGCAAGTGCCATGGAACAACACTGCAGAAGTCACTGAGCGTCTGCTAAAACAGCAGCACGGCGATTTTCCTACTTGCTGAACCAGAATGCGGCCACTGAGGTGTCCTCTTACATCCGCCGATCGATTCACCGCCGCTTTCCCACCTCTGGGCTCAGTCTCAAATGCTACTGTCAAGAGCAAATATCCGAATCATCAATTCAAAACTGATGGTGCCATTCACTGGAACTGTGATCCTTGATGCCGAAGAAAGACAAAACAGCTGACCGCTCATTCATGCTACCGATTGTGTATCACTGATAGCACCCTGGGTAGCTCTGTCACGGAACCTTGCAACGAAAGCCGACCCAAGGAACAGCCTGCATCTCACGGGAAAGACGCAAGCATTCCAAAGGGAACGGCGTCTGTTAAAGAGCCTGTTCTTCCCTCTCTAGATCGACCCTTGTCACACAGGCAAAGAATCATCCTCATAGGTTTTATCTTCATTATATCCTGCCAGATTCCGTCTGCCTTCGTTATGGGCATGCACCAAGAGAGTCACGTCGAGTCTTCCGAGACGCTCCCTCATGGCGTTATTGCCACAAGCACTAGCGCCCAGATGTTCAGCACATCCTCTCTCGATGCTCTTCAGGGCGAAGAGTCACGCAAAGTGATGGATATTGTTGACCGATTGCGCCGCGGTGGGCTGAGCGGTGAATTGCAATTGCCGCAGGTTGTGGTTTGCGGTGACCAATCTTCCGGCAAGAGTTCTGTCCTCGAGGCAATGACTGAGATTCCCTTTCCACGCAAGGAGAATCTGTGTACCCGGTTCGCAACGGAGATCATCCTGCGTCGTGCATTGACCGTGTCTATCTCTACAAAGATCATACCAGACAAGCAGCGTCCTGCGATGGAGAGGAAGAGGCTGGAAGCCTTCAAGAGCTCGATTGTTGACTTCAACGAACTGCCAACCCTTATTGACGAAGCCACTGGTCTTATGGGTCTGGACGACGATGATTCGAACCAAGCACGTGCTTTCTCTCGGGACGTCCTCAGTATTGAGATTGCAGGCCCCAACCGTCCACACCTAACACTGGTCGACTTGCCGGGGCTCATCCATGCAGAAAACAAGATGCAGTCGAAGGAGGATGTGGAGCTTATTCGCAGCTTAGTCGACGACTATATCAAGGAGAAGCGGACAATCATCATGGCAGTGGTGTCGGCGAAGAATGACTACGCCAACCAAATTATCCTCAAAAAGTGCCGCGACTTCGATCCACAGGGCCATCGCACTCTTGGCATAATCACAAAGCCGGACTTCTTGGAGCCTGACTCTGATAATGAGAAATCTTGGATCGAGCTTGCCAATAACCAAGACATTTTCTTCCAGCTCGGCTGGCACATTCTAAAGAACCGCTCTGACAGGGAGGCTCTCACGAGCTTCAAGGATCGCAATGCCGCTGAGAAGGCCTTCTTCTCGAGAGGAAAGTACCGCGATCTTTCTCCTGATATGCTCGGCATAAAGTCTCTGTGCTCTCGCTTGAGCCATTTGCTGTTCAAGCATCTAAAGACTGAACTTCCTGATCTTCAGAAAGATCTTGACAAGAACCACCAGGAGGTGTGTCGAACTCTCGAGCTTATAGGGGAGAGGCGGTCCACCCCCCAGGAGCAGCGACGATTTCTCTTGACTATTGTCACTAACTACCAAGATATCGTTAAAGCTGGGGTAAGTGGCCAATACGAGCACGAATTCTTTGGCGACACCGATCCAGAGGAGGCTGTGGAGCACGAGGCCAATGCGCATCATCTCCGTGCTGTCGCGCAGCACTTCAACCTTCAGTTCGCCCTAGCTATGCGCAAATATGGGCATAAGACCGAAGTCCTTGCTGACGACGGTGACTCGACCGATGCTACGGATTCCGATGAAGCAGAAATCGATGAAGCGGAAATCGATGAATGCTACCGCCAATTCGCCGTGACCCAAGAGCAGGTCTCTCGTGACGATGCTATACAACGTGTCCGCAAGATTTTGATCCGTTCTCGCGGCCGCGAACTGCCTGGGACGTTCAACCCTATCCTCATCAGTAAACTGTTCTGGGAGCAATCAGCCAACTGGCAGGCTATTGCAAATCAACACATTGAGCAGGTCGCCAGATTATGCTCTAACTTCGCTCGTGCAGCTATCAGCTTCTCAGTGTCGAACGACATCTCCGCGCGGCTCCAATCACTTACTTTAGATAAAGGACTAGACTTGCGTATGACCCGTGCTAAGGAAGAGCTCGCTCAGATTGTCGACGATACGAAGCATCATCCTATCACTTACAACCCGGCGTACATCTCGACTGTGCAGTCGACGAAGTACGAGAAGCTGTCATCAAAATTCAACAGTATGGCCACAGACTCCAAAGAGCAAATCTACAACAAGACCACTGGTACCTACAACACCTACCTGAAACCTGAATTTACTACAAGCATCATTCGCAACTTCACGGAAATGGATATGGATAGGGTTTCAGCGGAAGACGCCCTGGATAGTCAGCAAGCGTACTACATGGTAATGTAGCCCCCTCCCAACGTGCTCACGCAGCGACTGAAAGTCGATCTAGGAAGAAGTCGAGTATTTCATCGCTGCGGTTGCCAAGCAGGTCATCGAGCGTTATCTCGTCCGCGATCTCGCCGACACCCGCTCTCCGATCATGGTGGGAGATATGAGTGATGCTGAGGTCGCCTTCGTTGCTGCTGAGCCGGAGGAGACGAAGCGCCAGCGCGACCATCTTGAGGCACGGAAGGCCACGCAGGAGGAAGGCCAAGAGATCTTCAAATCGGCGCTTGGTTTCTTCAAGTAAAGCTGACAAAGTTGTGAGCTCTTAGACACAGTGTGTGGTGGAAGAGACTGGTAGACGAAAAGACGACATAGCAAGTCGAGGCGAAGGTGGAGTACAACTTGCCCTTAACCTTATCTCCTCTGACATGTGGAATACTGTTAACAGAGCACCATAGGGATCTGTGGGTCCATGAAATTCGTACCAACTTTTGAAAGGATGACTAGGAGGATTCATTCCTTTTGATCAGACCCATGATCAGCTAAGGTAGAGCAGCACCAGGTTCTCGGATAGAACATGAACTGGCCCCAGTCTACTCACCTTGCTTGGTCTTTGATCCTCTGTTGCATCGCGAGCTTTCCTCCAGTTTTATGGTAGCTCTGTTGCTAGCCGTTTGCAGGCTCATCTGTACCTGGTTCTATGAAGTTCAGCAGGATTTGTTATTAGATATGAGCCTGTACTTGCGTGTGTTTGTACCTATTCGCCTCATTTGCTCTGCTCGTTTGCCCAACTCCCGGTTTCGAAGTTTAGAATTGGACGATCGGCAGTTGCGGAAAATTAGGAAAGTTTATGTGTTAGGCAAGGAAACATGTCTTTCGGGGCTGCCGGGCCTGGTGGGAATGTGGTGTTAATGGACATAGGGCCACAGGGTTTAATAATTTGTGTGGGCTTCTAGGGGGTATGGAGGTAAGTCCGCCGGGTCTGTTAACGAGTAGGGACTTTTAGCCTTTAACGCTAGTAATCTGGATGGGTTAGTGGCCACATGGGAACGTGACCTTAAAGGCTAAAAGTAGCGTGCCGTAGCCAACAGCCGCGAGTCATTGAGCGGAGCAGCAGCAGTGGTGCCTCGGTGCGATCCAAGCCTGTATCAAGGCGCGACGACAGCCAACGAATGCTGGCGCTGTCGACGCCGCAGACGTGCAATGCACCGCGATACGACTGACTTCCAGGAGTGGATTACTCGCGATGTTCGTGTTGTTCTCGATTAGTCGGACTGTCGCCTTTCCATTCGGGGACCGTGCTGTGAGAGGACCGCATTCTTCGTTCGTTTCCTTTCGTTTCGTTTTATTTCTTCTTGCTTCGTTCCGTCCTTCCTTGTTTTCTCCTGTTTTGACTTACTTCTTCTTGTTCCGTTTCGTTTCGTCTCGACCTGTCTGGTTTTTGGTTATAAAATTGGTAAAGGTGTACTCATTATTTGATTTGGGTTTTGGTCCTGTACTTACAATGCGACGTAAGTCTTCTAGCAAAGCTTCATCTGACTGCTCATTGCGCTCCATTGTGTTGCAGACCAGAAGGTTGTTGGGGTCTTCATGCACGTGGGTGGCAGCTTCGGAGTGTGATAAGGCTAGCGCTGATGATGTCATTTTTTGCGGTCTCGCTGAGTCAAATGACCTTGAAAGACCTTCGACAACTGGGTCGACATCATGACAACTGCAGTGTGGTGACGTCGCCTCAACAATGCCACGTGATATCTTCACCAGCCCCAGACAGTGTGCAATTACTACTACTACCACCACTGCTCGCTCACAAGCTCACGTCTGAGTCATTTAACCATGTCGTCCACCCTTTCGCCGTTTCAATTTTTGGAGATGCTCGAGATTTTGAAGACTACGAAAAGGAGCGGGTGGCTACGCTGCGAAGTTCCTGGTCCTACAGAGAGTGTGGCCGATCACATGTACAGGATGGCAGTTATGTGCTGCATAGCACCTGGGGTGAAGTCTCTCCAACCCTGAAATGCTATCGTCTAATTGACAGTGACGAGTTCGATGAAGCAACCCGCGGAAAGGCAGTAAGAATGGCTCTAATCCACGATATGGGCGAATCGGTGATTGGGGACATCACCCCTTACGATGGAATCAGCTCAGGCACGTGAACATCTCCCTCCTGTGATCAGCTCCTAACTTTGATAGACGAGAAGAAACTGCGGGAGGACTTGGCCATCAAGTTTCTCGCCTGTACGATCCGTCAATCGAACCCGGACTTTGCCGACTCCATGTCAGAGCTATGGCACGAATATCAAGCAGGCTTGACTCTCGCCTCGCAACTAGTACGGCAAATCGACAAGCTGGAGTGCATGGATCAAGCGATACTGTACCAGGAGCGATCGGGTACGAATCTGGAAGAGTTTCTAGCTTTAGAGAAGCATGTGACACTCCCAGAGTTGCAGCCATGGTTGAAGGGTAGGCTGAACGACTACCAAGAATTGAGATCCAGGATCGATGCCGATATCACGTTTGTATTTGTCTCCGGTAAGGCCTCACACGTCGAGAGCTGTGCATATGCTGAAGTTAGTGTAGGTGGCCCAGGTGTAGGCAAAGGCACGCAATGCGCACTCGCCGTACAGGAGTTCGGTTTCCACCACATATCTGTTGGGGATCTACTACGAAGGGAGACGACGTCCAAAGCGTCCCCGTATGGACATTTTATTAATGAGAGCATGAAGAGTTCGGTACTTCTGCCCGCGCAATTGACCACCTATCTTCTCAAACAAGAGCTGCATGCGGCGCAAGCGCGAGGGGAACGTCAGTTTCTTATAGACGGGTTTCCCAGAAGCATGGATCAAGCAGCAAGCTTTGAGACCAAGGTTTGTCTGTGCCAACAGCTTGATTCCAAGCACGACTAAAACGACCATCTAGATTTCCAATGTTTACTCGACGATTTCTCTTCATTGCTCCGAAGAAGCTATGCGGAAGCGATTGCAAGAACGGGCGAAGTCATCCACTAGGATCGATGACGACCCGACAGTCATCTCCCGGAGGCTTCACACCTTCGAGGAGAACAACGCACCCGTGCTGCAACACCTGCAACAACATGGAACAATTTACAAGGTGAGCACTATCCCAAGCTTCAATCTTATGAGCGACTATTTACATGACTGCGAAGATCGATTGCAGCGGCACTATCGAAGACACGTACTCATTAATGCAGAGTGCGATCCGACGGATCCTCCAGCTGTAAACTTATATATTCCACTAGCAGCCGAAGTCTTGGTTCTGCGCCAGCCTCAGATCCTTGTTATCAAGCGAACCAAATGCAAGTCGGCACAATGACCAATCTATGCTAGCCTCATCGTTCCACTGAAATCGTGACCTAGCCTGCTGTACTTGCTGCTCCCTGCACGACTTCCCAACAAGATATAGCTCTTGGGGGACATCGCCACACGCGCGGAGGTGATGAAGCAGCAAATTGCTCAGGTGAACGCTCATCTGAATGAGGCTGCAAGCCTTATCAGGGTGTCGCCAACGATAGGTCTGGAGACATGTTAGAAAGCAGTCAACGGCAGTGATAAAAGAATGAGCCTACTCCATGATGGTCGAATACCCAGTATTGTAGCCGCCAAATGTCTCGTTCCCTGACGTGTAGGACAATGACAACTGCCAGGAAGATGGTCGTCCACTCACAAGGACGGTTCCGTAACATCGCGCTTGACAGCTCTTTGAGAAATTTTGCCTCAACCGTAGCGATATATGTCTCAAGTTGGCGGTCCAGCTGGTTCTGTAGCACTCGAGGAGCCGGCACACTACCATATAATGGAGAACATTCGTCCACAACTAGGAACATTCCGAGCCAGTCGAGCCCCGACATTTGCCAGCCTGACATAAGAGCACGATTTGCTGCCCACAAACTAAGTGCCATACGCATCAACGGATCCTAAGAAGATTGACCTTTAGCTAAGGAACTGCAAAGGTTTGGAGGCCGGCCTTACTGTGGTCTCTGGTGGCGCGACTTCGAATAATGTGCGGAGCGGAGAGCTGTCACTGGAAGTTCCGGCGAGGAAAAATCCAAGGCAACTCTGGACGTACTCATGGATTCTCATCATTTCGAGGTCTGGATCGTCAAGTGCGTACGAAGTGGTTTCAATGTAATCCCACCCGCTCCCGATCTTGTAATATAGACGTGTTTGTTCGGGTGATGCAGGTTGAAAGAGGCAGCAGGAAACTCGAAGTGTAGGGCCTTGCGAATCATGACAGAGAAGAGCTGTGGTTGAATGTACAGGCGTCAAATTGTACCAAGCCAATTGTGACTGATAACCATTCTCTCGCCCTGCTCAGCAGTTAAAACCTGGGGAGTGGCACGGCAGGAGGTTACTCACACTTTGAGAAGACTTGGTCACTGGTGAAGCGCTCCTTGATGCACAATTGAACAGGAATTGAAGTTTTAGAGCAATGTTGGCATACACCATGGTGCTTTGCAACGCACTAAGAAAGGTCAGCATGAGACGGAATCGGGACGAGTCTTGAGAACCTTCAACTTTTGCCTCCAGCACGGTATGCACGCCGTCGCCGTTCGTGAAGAGCTGATCTGAGAAACCTCTTGGACGCTTGCCGGAATGACACGCTCAACAATGCAATTCGGCTCAAAGGCTCCATTGGATACGACGCCAGAAATGCCCGGCGACTCGAAAATGTCGCTCGTGATATGAAAAGGCTCATTCAGAGTCTCCTGAACGCACACCGTACTGGCGTCTTTCCGGCTGATCGGTGTGCTTCCATTGGAGTAGTTGATTTTCTTCGGGCGCATGTCTTTCATGTTTTGAAGCGGCTGAGACAACAACCCGAAGGAGGTCAAAATATGAAGAAGTTGATAGAAGGCATCAAGCTCGATTTGATAATATTCACGCCACGACTGAAGTGCAGTATCCATGGTCCAAGTTCCGCCGTAAAAAGAGGCAATGCCAAGCTCCAGCCAAGCAGCAGTGGATGTGTTAAAGCTTGCGACGGCACGGGGAATTGTGCACATATATACACACATGGGCGTGGGGGTTGGCGCGAATCACCTCGGAGATCGCCAGCCGATACCGACAGCCTCGAGATACCTTTCCCAATGCGAGACCCAATTTTGCTCCGCTCATCTTCTCCTTTGTTGCTTTATGGCCTTCAACACTTATAAGCAGGCATGCGGCTGATTTCGCGGCGTTCGCGAGCAAGACCCGAGCCGCCTCCCTCAAAGCAATTGCGAAAGCAGTTTCAAGGTCGCCGTAGTCATCACCATTGCCCTGCTTTTAGCCTTGAATGGCAACAGAGTCCCAAGCCTGTATGGTCGATGGCGCTCAGCGTTAGACTTTGAACCTGTCAGAGAGCAGCCAAGCTAACACAAACAATTTGCCGCTTGGGGTGGTATAGCCGATGTTGAAAAGCCTCAGTCGTAGCCTACAGATGCATTAGCCTCGAATTCCAATCTGTGGGCCGTAAGCCCTTACCGGTATGTGCCTGTTGTGCCCACTCTAAGGTCTGAAAGGACAAACAGAAATCCTGATTCGTTGTCCAGGTACGATGGAGTCAGCGCATAATTCAAAGTCTGCTGCCCATTTCCCTCTATTATGTAAGTTTCGTCCCCAGACGTGCCGTCGATAAGGTCGACGCGGAGTACGAAGGATTTGGCGCACGGGACGCGGTCAAAGTCCACTTCGTTGCCCAACTCATCGTCGACTATGAGGCGGACATCAATAGGGGGAACCATGAGTCCTAGGCGTTGAGCACTATCAATCGTCAATGCTCTTGGCGTCTGGCGAACCACCACAAGCGAGTATTTGAGGCCCTCGTAGACTGAACTGTAAGAGTCTTTGCTTCTATGCAGACCGAGCGCTCCGGAGGAACAATTCGTTTGCTTGGATGCTCTCTCCTCCGGCATCTTCAACAGTGTTTTCTGAGGCATGTGGCCACTCCGACTATCGTAATGCGGCGGGAGGTGAGCAGACGGGTCTCGTAGCGCTCGCTGTGTGTCGCTATATGCGTCGTTGTAGTGGGTATCGAAATAGGGCGCAAAGCGTTCGTCCTGTCGAAGTCCATCTAGCATTTCTGAGGGACCTACAACCTTGATAAAGCAGCCGACAGAAGATTCATACGGTAGTAAGCCATCTTTCAGTGAACACGTTCCGCAGGAGCGTCTCCGTGAGAAGTCTGTTGTTGGAATTTGTGCCAGTTACAGATGTCGTGCCGCCAGCTCTGCTCCGGTCACTTGAATAGAACTACTTTAGTGTAATGAGGATCAGGCTGTTCCGCTGGCATTCGGCAACGCTAGTCGGCAACGCTAGTCAACAACGCTAGTCGGCAGCGCTAGTCGGCAGCGCTAGCAAACCGCTGCCGCAGTCCTTGATGACGCTAGCAGCCCGCCCACCCCCACGTTACTCGGCAAGCGCTAATGAGTGCACGTTGAAGTCCAGCGACGAGCAAAGATCATCATTTATATTTGGACCAGGGAACGGCCTCCGTGGGATATGTTCATCACCCTACTGCGAACATCCAAGTTCATTGCAGTTTCAAGATGGTTTTACTGGTTTCGGAGCTACTCAACGAGGAGGGGGAAAACATGTCCGCCAGCGCTCAGTCTGGCGATGTCGACTGGCGCAGGGCATTTGATAAGTCAATGAATTTCTTCGCTTGGTAAGATCCAATGAATGCTAAGCGGAATAGACGCTGACGACATCAGGTCGAGAGACATATCCAAACCCTGTTTCTGCCCCTGCGCCACATCTCCTCCGAAGCTTCATTTACTCGAAGATGTTAGGAGCATCAGCAACGGCTCTACCATACTAGTATCTTGCGATGACGACAACGTATGCCCTAGCTGGAAGAAAGGGAAAGAACATTTCGGTGAAGTCGCCGTAGCTACAGTGGGTGGTATCGTCAAGTGCATGGCTGTGGTGGTCATTGAGGCTACTTGGATTTTCTGCGAGGTTAAATATCGGCCCTACCATCTCCTAAAAGTGGTCAAATGTGAAGTAGAGGTGCCGAAGGTTGGCCAAGTATTCGTCGCACGAGACACAATGTCGTCTGCCACACGGACAGGGAAGCAAGAGAAGATAAATCACTGGCCAGACAACAGCAGCGAGTGGCTCGCCGTGGCAGCAAGTTTGAAGCGCTAAGCAGGACCGCAGTTCAAGACTACATGGGACATGTTTGCAGCTCAAAACTTTTGTCTCTCGCTGCTCTTCGCTGTCATCTACGACCAGGATATCTCATTTCGCGCCGTTCCCTCCACAACTGTCTAAATCTTCCTCTTCGGCTACTCGAAGTAGCAATTGTGACGCGAAACAAACCCCGCTGCTCTTTGTCGTAGAGATCTTGGAAGTATGGTGAGCCTAGGCGTCCTCGTTGAAAAGCTCCCAGAAGCTCTCCGGCAGCTCTTGGACCGTCCGTCGCTCTCTTGTCTGTACTCTCCCAAATTTTCGCTCCCAGCGCTGCACAGTGGGTTGTGTTTGGGCAGTCACGACGTGTTTCTCGGTATCTGGACAATTGTCGTCGTTGCTGTATGCGAACTTGAGCTCGTGAGCGGCCTCGCAGAAGGTGGACGGCCCTTGCTGGCTAGCGATCAAGCATTGTGTCTTGACTAAGGTCCAGTGGCCGCATGCGACCCATGTTACGTGTAGTCGGTAACACATTTGCGGATTTCCGGTACGAACAAGCGAGGGCACTGAGATGGTGAGTCCTGCTACTCGTCTGAAATTCCAGCCGCACGGCAGCCTTGTATACCAGCTTAGTGGGGGCACCGTGGGATTAAAATCCCGCGCCGAGGGTCGTTGTGGGGCTGCTAGCCTTGCCAAGTTACATCTTGTTTTGCCGCGGGCCTCTTGAACGAAGAGCCAAAGCAGCTGATCTGGCGATGGCATTGATGAATGATATTCCCTAACATGCTGTCAGCAGCCTTGACGACTTTCGTCTCTAGCTCTTGGGATATCAAGGTCTGGTCAGGCGCTGCGCAATTCATCGACCGTGCGTGTTCGTACGAAAGTTGTCTTATCTTCTGAAGTGAAGTCGAGAACAGACATTTCTGGCAGCTCCCATGATCAGAAGTCAATATTCGGACAGTTCTTTTAGGATAGTGGCATTCGGTCACTACATGGGTCTTCCCGATGCTCAGATCAGAGGCGCTGGTTTTACACAACAGAGCACAATACATTATATGAGTCGATGTTCGACTCATTCACAAATCGGCCTGTAAATATACAACGTGATCACCTTGAAGTTGCCTTGAAGCAAATCAACTACTATAGTGCATGTGCACACCGATCATTATAGTGATCGCTCTTTATCTATCACCTCGTCTTGTAGGCCATTATCTGTTCCAATCCTTTACTAAGCCCATGAGAGCCAAGTCCTTAGCCTGTCCGACACCTTCTTCGCATGTGACGGAGGCAATACTCAGTGACCTCTTGTATCGACTACGTATATGACTTCAAATGGAGCCAGATACGTGAAGTCGTCAAAGGGCAAGTGGCTGGCCAGAACCTCCTCTTCATCATATCCTGTGACCAATGCCATTGTTTTGAGGCAGAGACGGTGCACATCCTCCCGTCTCTTAAGTTCGTGGACAGTCTGTGGTGTGAGCTTGAAGGTCACACTTCCAGCCTCTGGGTTTTGTTCGTGTTCTCCGTTTATTTGAATGGCGATTACACGTGCTCTGACCACGAAAGACTGTGCACTACCCGAGCCCTCGCTAGAAAACGGGCGGAGTGTTGCAAGAGTCCATTCTGCAGTCTCGCCTTCGAGCAGGTTTCGTAAAGCGTCCTCGTAGTATCGGCGCTTTCGGTGGGCACCTTTTGCTACTTTAAGCTTCCGAAGCAACCATATCAATTTTTTCGGGATGTGCTCGCAGACCACAGATACTCCTGGCAACTGAGCCCCGTCTTGCGATGGTTTAGGAAGTAGCACAGCACTTTTCAGTGAACGCATGGTAGCTGGTCCAGACTTTGCTTGGATAGCGTCGTTTGTGATAATCTGTTAAGAGTACTTATTAGCCAGATACAATCAAACTCGTGTAAACTTGTTTTAGCGGACCACTCTATCTTCATTTGAGCTTACATTGCGCCTGGTGGTTGAACAGTTGAAGCAAACACGTAGTCAGATGAACAGCACACTTCTCGCGGTGTCGCCGTGTTGTTCACATCTGCTTCGCTAACAGCTCTCGACAAAGCCACGGATGCAGGCTTGCGACCTTCGTCTCCTGCGTATAGTCGCCCATGGAACCAATTGCCCCTGGCCATAGCTCGCTCCCTAAGATAAGCGACCATCGAACGTGGACCCGAGCCGAACTCAGAACAAGGCAAGCAACAGATAGATCCCTGAGAAGCGATTAGTCCAGTTTCACCGCCATGCATAATGGGCCACTAAGAGATATGGTTTGACTTGACATTTGTCATGAGATTAAGTCTCATCGACGGCGTGAAAGCGCCGCGGGGTCGTGATTGGTACAGATCTTGATCCTGTCCCAGCCGCGGAAGCCAAGTGGAGTTGGAGCTGCAGAAATTCTCCTGGGATGATCACGGGCCGCGTCGAGCGAGAGGAGCGCCAAGAGTACGGAGTGTGATTTGAGCGCCAAGAGCGTTGATCACGCTCCGGAGCGGGGCATCGCTTCCCCAGGTATGTGCTCCATATCCGCGCAGGGTCTTCGCTCACATCAATCACTGTCTCACGGCGGCGGGCCAATATCGAACTCCGTTCTAGCCTGTTCTCGAGCGGAATCTGCTACACTATTCAATACTTGTTAGCCGCATTGGAACCTCTATCTGACCACCATGATATCAGATGCACAAAGTCCAGGTCGCGTACGATTGCTGGTGGCCCTGGCCCTTGTGATGTACCACGACTGCTTGAAATACCAACAGAGGACATATATTGTAAACGCTGAGATACTCGCACGTTGTTGCTCTTTGTGGTCTTTGTCAAGCAGATGCCCTCCTGCAGCTTTATGATTCACTGCTGCCATGATTCAAGATGAGTTGCAAGTAAGCCCCGGTTCCAGTATCTGCCTCTTCCCTATCGTTACCGTCCTCCTGAGCGCCACTTTCGTCACCTGGCACCGCGTCAGCAGCTCGCTGGCTGTTCTCGGCTTGTGTCCTTTTCCTCTTCGACTTGTAAACAACGTCCTTCCAATTTTTCTCAAACAAGTCGGCCATCTTTGCTTCTGGTACAGATATACCGTTTGTCTCGATTTCGAGCTTGACTTCTGCGTGTAGCTCTGTCTTTCGACCCAGCCATCGAAGATCACTGGCTGACAGTCTGTCGAGTTGCTGGTCAGGATATCGCTGGATGACGTGCTCTCTCGCTCGGTATAAGGCCTTTCTCACGATGATCTGCAGATTGTGAGCATGATTTTGGTCATTGGCAAGTGTGCACTATACCTGTAGATCATTCTCACTCATCTTCCTCAAAGGACGTTCTCAGTGCCGATGACAGAGATGCCAACCGTGACTGGGCTGGGATGACACAAGAGCGGAGCGGGTGGAACCGCACGGCCCGAGACCGGACGCTTGGCGGGGAGACAACGTTGCCTCTCAGACTGCGATGCACACATATCTGGAATGCAGTGAATGGCGGCACCGAACCTTTCGCATCACAATTTAGCACGTATACCAGGAAATAAATCGGTGCTATATCCCATTCCACACCGACTCGCATTGTAGCGCCGGCACAGGACCACGAACCCAGCCGATTCGCCGACTCAAAAAATCTAGTCGAAGGGCCAACAAGTCATCCTGAGATTCGCAAAAACCAGATTCGGCCCTTTCAGACTCAAAATAATATACCTGGTATTCGTATTGCTGTAGCTTGGCGCCAATGTGTCGCGCCCTTCGAAGGCCGCACAAGTCGCTTAAATTATTGCAGCCGATAAGGAGGCCTGGTGCATATGCTCCGCGATGGTAATTGATATATTTTCCTGCGGAAAGGAAATCCGGTTGACTATTCCACAACGGGTTCAAGGAGCCAACGGCACTGAAGGCGTGATCGGAGGTCGGATATTTCTCAATCAACATGGCACCATGCTCGTACGCAGCCAAGATGGCATTGCGATCTGGTAGGGCAAGTCCATTCAATACGAGATCGACGATAATGGAGGTCACATCCTGAAAGAAAGATCCGGCCTCGCGATGGCAACTTCCAACGAAGACGATCGCTCCACCGGGTTCCAGCCATCGCCTGCCAATGATTGTGCTATACTGGGGAACTAGGCCTCGACCACACACAATAATGCAGACAGGCTGCCCGCCCATAGGCTGGTTGCGGCCGACCAGAGTGTATGGGATCAAGTCACCTCTTGCATTCATCGCGTGGTGATCGGATACACTGCACTCGCTGGTGCTGAATTTCGCCGGAGTTTCTGACAACAGGTCGTATTGTCCGCCGGGAACAGCGCTGAGCCAAAGTTTTAGGGGAGTCAGCGGGTCTTGCGTGGCCAAGATGAGTGTGTCGTCCGTCTCACTCGCAAATCCGTCCAGTGTGTCGATCGACATCGGCGTGCCAGATGGCAACTGTTTCGTGCTCAACTCAGACCAGTCATCCAGCCGGAACTCGCCATCGGTGTTCGACTGTCGAGGGCCAGCGATGGTCGACCTTGCATCGGATGACCAAATGAACTTCTCGGCCGAGAGCAAGCCTGCAGCAAGTCAAAGTGCCGCTGGACCCGTCGCCTCACCGGGTCCGGCGACGATCAACGCCTCAGAGCAATCGGCAGCGTCGCGACGAGAGCTGCACCTAACTGGCATGGAGACCGGGATGGGCCTCCAAGAATCGCAAGAAGGACTGTATGATGATACGCAAGCCCGGTGAGTGCGTTTCCACTGCAGCTGCTACGACGGACACCGCGGAAGAAGTATTGACTGGCGCTGTGTAGGCAGGACATCGACTTGACCGATCTTTTACCTCTAGCTGACTCCTACGCAGAACAGATCGATGTAGACGAAGAGTCACATCAGCAAGACTCTCAGCAGCACAAGTCTGAATCGGGTGGGAGTGAGCCTGAGCCATCAAATTCAGTCCTGCCGGCCGATCCTGCCACGGACGACGACGACGAGGGCGTACCCTTTATACCGTGCAGGAGACGTCATGCCCGTCTTTCAGTCCGCTCTCCGTCACACAGGCAAGACGACCAGGATTTCCGAGAACATCCCACGACAAGTTCCGAAGGACTGTATGATATGCCGGGAAGCTCGTTCCGCGGCCATCGAGGCAAGCATGGGCGAAAGCGACTGCACGTTGGGTGTGGACATGGCGACGATGACGATATTACTGGCGAAGAAGCTAAGCTTCTGCGCGAGGTAAGATGCGGATTCTCGTGCCCCCGATGGTGCGCGAAAGACGGATCACAGAGGCATCGCAAAGCTCGCAAACGCTGCGGCAACAGTGATGGTCGCTTACAACGCCCTGAGCGGTGGGCCTGTCGCCGGAGACATGGTCGAGACGTTGATTCTATCTCCCAGCTGTCTGAGTCTTGCGTTGCATCGACATCACTATATCTACAAGAGCAGCCAACGTGGGCCGTTGACCGCATCGTTATATGCTGTCGGAAGAATGGCAAAATGTTCTACAGGGTCAAATGGAAAGATACCTGGGAGCCTGCAACCAGCCTGCGAGGTTGTGCGGATACCGCTGTCGCAGAATTGCACGCTGGGCGTTCCACTTCCCACAACGGGTGAATCGAGACGACGACAATCCACAGCATTGGTGTCCACATTGTCTATCACTCGAGGAAGACACGGCGACCCTGCATGGACGAACGGGCGACCCATTGAATCACCAAGCGAACGCTGGTCGTATCGAACATACCTAGACACAGTCTTTTGACCAGGCTTTAAAATGACTACTCAGCCTTTCATCCTGACTCCTGTACACGACAAAAGACGAAAGAGACCTTTTCCTGCGCCACAGTCCGCAACCAAATTGCAATTGTCGAAACTCTGCGCGCATTGCTAGTTACGCGCAGCCTCCCTCCAGTAGTCTTGAGCTAGCGACTTCCTTCGCTCACGGCATACTCGTGTAATGCGGTTGCCTGCATCTCGCATCGACCTAGGGTGAGAATCGTGCTACTTCTTCCTGGAAGCCTCCTCGCTACTGTCCACGTCGGTGGTGCTTGCCAGCCACCCTTCCAACCGTTCGGCGTTGAGCATTCCTTCGTCGAGCGTGCTCCGGCCTGGCCAGTTTGGGCGAACATCAAATGCTGTCGGGAAGCGGTGCTCGGGGACAAATGAAGCTTCGCGGCGGCGGAACGAGTCTGGATCCATCCCAAGATCCTCGCATAGCCCTCTGGTATCTTCCACAGTCTTCAATTTCTGCGCGAGATCCTCGACCAGCTTTTCATGAGCTTTGCTGTGGCGCGATTCGAAGATGGAATCGGGCGTGCTTGGCTCTATCTCCTGATCTCTGCGGAAATCGCGCTGCTCACGTTCTTCGTCGTACGTGAAAGTCAGATCGGAGATACACTCCCTTAAGATGGACGATTCTCCAACAGCATCAAAGTAGGCCTGTACCTGCTCGGGTATCTCCTCAGACCGATCGGACGGGGTGGACGGCCTTTCAGAGGGTAAATTGTGCATGCGCTCCAACAGGTGCTTGCAGCCTGGCAACGTGCTCAGATACTCTCCCAAAGCCGTTACCATCTCGGATTCGATGTTTGCGAGCTGATACTGCATCGTACCCGCCTGGGAGTCGATGTCCATCACAGCCCGCGACTGCTCTCGCGTCGACGTCACGTCGTCATGTAGCTGTTGATCTAAATTCTTGAAAGATTCAACACCAGAATCGTCCGGGCCTCGTTTCCTGGCCTCGGTGGTCCAGGTCTTCAATATACCCGCTGCCGTCTCTTGGGTGAATCTGAGGTTATCCAAATACTTTGCCATTTCAGCAGTCCTTTGCGTGTTGAGGAGTTGAAGCTTGTTATACTGCCTCTGCGCCTTGGCATATAGCTTGAGGAACTTCTCGAGTGGACTGTCGCCTTCGACGTCGTGCAACCCAACCATCTTGGTCGAATCAGACATTATTTCCTGCTAGATCGAAGCGGCGACACCTTAGCGCCTCTTTGCCAGAAGCTGCGATGAATGCAAATAACTTCAGTACAATCCCCACACGTGCACTGCTGGAAATTGGGCTTTGTTCGCGGAGGCAGAAGATAAGAGGAGACAACTGCGGACTGGCCTGCTTTTATGCGTCCACGCTACGAAGTCACAGCACGCAGTCACCGCTACTCAAGGCTCGCCAAGTCATGCAGCACGCTGCGGAAAAGGACGGAAAGGGCATGTGCGACAATGTGGCAAGCCCACAATATGTGTTCAGTACATGTCATCGCGCCGGGTTTCTTTCGCTTCTAGCAACCAATTCAATCTGGCAGACGTGTGACATTGCAAAAGTGTACATACATGTTAAGTCTACGTGAATACATTTGGCAATGCCCTTACAGTCTCTCGGATCCAGCCAAGCTTTTGGCGGAAGAATTCCAGATGAAGGGTGAGCAGAAAATCAGAATCTTCGAGGCCACCAGATCCATCCGTCCCCGACTCATAGTAGTGGACACGATACTTAAAACTTTGTAGCATCCCACCAAGCCGTCTCGCCCTGCTCGTGTCGAGCGGGTCGCTCAAGCTATTGCAGCCGACCAGAAGATGATGTTGCTGTGCGCCTTTGTATCGCTGAATATGGCGACCGGCACTACGAAATGCCTCCGTGCAACTCCAACGAGGATTGTACGAACCGAACGCTGCGAAGATACCTTCAGAGACGGGGTACATCTCCATCAAAGCTGCACCGTGCTCGAATGCACCCAATGCTGCTATGCGGCTTGGGATGTTCACGCCGTTTGTGACGAGGTCCGTAACGATGCAAGTGGCATCTGTAATAGACGAGATGGTGTCCGAATAGTCACTCTGTACGAAAATGATGGCACCGCCAGGTTCGAGCCACTGCAGGCCGAGAGTGGTGTTGTAGCCTGGAGTCATGTTGGAGCTGCAGAATATAAGACATATAGGCTGCTCGGCTGTTGTCCCCGGAGGGCCTACCAGGATTTACGGGATCGATTTACCTTTGGAGTCTATTGTGTGGTGGTTGGTAAGACTGTACCCGGCGGTGAAGCCTGTAGGAGGTCACCCTGTCTGTCGAACACAGGCTGATGATCAAAATGGGGAGGAGCAAGAAAACTTGATAAAGAAGGTCGAGGCGAGAGCGTAGCCTGACCCCGTTGGCCGCCTATATGCGGCATTTCTGACATGTTGTGAAAAGTTCACGAAGGCAGCCCACGATGCAACGCGGAGGAGCTGTTGACTTATAAGCCTTTGCCATACACCACGGATCGATGCTGTGCATGCATTATGCATATGCGGAAGTCCATGCTGCATGACTAGTGTCGACTACGCCTTTCTCTTGTGATTTATGAAGTTTTGGAAAGGAAGCTACAGACGCCACATTCAAAATCATGCTACACCACCATGTCCCTACTCGAAGCACTTGCATTACACCTCTGCTCAATCTCCATCATGACCTCTAGTGCCTCAATCTCCTGCCATATTTCTGTTCGCTGCCAAAGACTCTTCCAAGCCTTTGTGGCTCTGGGCCACCATCTGAACCCAAAAGTGCAAGATGCCGCGATCAAAAGATTCACGCTCTGGACGAGTTCAAAGTGCATACCTGCAGATAGTCGTTCCTTTTGCTCATCACCACTGTTGAGGATAGCAGCAGCTGCCAAAGTGGTGATAGCGCAGCTGCACTGTTAGCCGTGTCTTGCCAAGGGTGTAAAGTCCTAAAGCACCTACAGGAGCCGCAAGCAAGTCTGGCAATACAGAGCTAGGAGCAGTCTGCGGCTTCCAAGATCGCGCCTGTATAGGCATGACGTTGCGAGCCAGGGAAAGCATACGCTGTTCCACAGTTCGGCCCCCGTGAACGCGACTGCCCTTGTCCAGCTCCGCCAGACGGATAGCTACGAGTCCCATTAGCATCTCGAATACCATCCCAGAAGGTAGAGACTCGCCGGACCCAGGGGTGGCAGCACAGTAAGTGTTATAGCTACGGTGCAGAGCATGACCACTGACAGAGCCCAGACGTTCGTTCGAGTCGTCCATACTAGACTGAATATCCGTTTACCGATGAAAGCCTGAGCGCATTGGAATGAGGCGAGTGCTATCGTCACAGTGACTCGAGCAGCGTAGTCCTTCTTAATGTTAGCGTGACCTTTGTTTAACCATGTGCGACCACTCACGGACTTGGTAACACTAAATGCAAAGCACCCTAGGGAAGCTGTGTAACCGATCGTAGCGATCTGCGAGACTTGTTAGTCGTGAACGGTAAAGATCTTAGTGTGAAAGCACCATGGCTACAACGCAGAGGAGATTATAAATGTTGAAAAAGGATAGAAGAGGAATGGATGTGTGCATGCGAAGAGCAAAATCGAACGTCACAAGTATAGAGAAATGCAATTGAACGATGAAGGCAGCGATCATGATGTAGGAAGAAAGAAGGCAACGTCGTGACTGCAGCAAAATTCAGCAAGGCTGCAGACGCATCTTTGAACCATTGCCTCTTCACCGTGTGACAGGATCCATACGGCACAGCGAGAGGTGATGGTCTCGACTTGGTGCTTATCACAAGGACTAGCGAGAGCACGGATACATAATGAAGCGTTCCGGTTCAACACAGCGGGCGGGAATATGTTGTGAGGACTGCCTGAGCGGGACGTGAAGTGAATGCACGACACTAGTCCCTAAACGCGAATGTGCACGATGATGTACATAGGCGCAGATCCAGGCATCCGCGAGCGGCTAAGTCTGACTTGCCTCCAGCTTGCCTCCAAGTTGCCTCCAAATTGCCTCCAGCTTGCCTCCAAGTTGCCTCCATCTTGCCTCCATCTTGCGTCTAGCTTGCCTCCAACTTGCACCTAGCTTGCCTCCAGCTTGCCTCCAGCTTGCCTCCAACTTGCCTCCAATTTGCCTCCAGCTTGCCTCCAACCTGGCTCTTTTCTGCCCTGCTTTTGCTGTATCGACAACATGCCAAACCTCTCGAAGCGCAAAAAGACCGCGCCTAATTTGATCAAAGCTATTCGGCGGCAAAAGATTCTTCTACATCCGTCCTCGTATACCGATGCTGCTGCGCTGCTACGCGTCAACAAGTGGAAAGCAGTACTCCACAATGACCACGCCCAAAGCAAATCTACAGCATGGCAGAGCAGGTCATCTAAGGCACGAAGAGCCCTACAATCAGTTGCAGCGAGCTGTGGGGAAAACGTCGCTTGCTTGTGCGTCTTGTCCACCTCAATCACGCAATTGGGCATGCTGCGAAAAGGCGACGTTGTAGAGCTCATCGAATTGCTCAAAGGACTGGAAGAAGAACTTGATACTGACCACCTAAGCCCGTTGGCTAAGCTACTTTTTGAGCAGTCAGGCTCAGCGGAGAAAGACTCTGTGAGGGAGAATGGTTCAGAACGCTCCAAAGAGCAGGGAAGCGAGCACGAGAAGGACAAAGGGGACGGAGAAGAGGATGGGAAAAGACGAGAGGATACATCCCATGCAGCGCTTGCCACCACCTATGATATATCCGGCACGGTTCTGCTCGACTTCCTCAGCGCTCAAATGCACTTGTGTCCGAAGGTGGTGTTCCGCAATTCGAAGACCGCAATGCCCACGCCGACGATTGAGATTTGGCGTCCAAACCATGTGCATACGAAGATCGAGCTTTCCCTAGAGGCAGGAGCCGATTTCGTTCGATTCCTCAGGACCATCGGAAGTAGCGCACTTTTGCCACACCCATCCACGCAATTCCACCCTGGACGGGTCGGCGAATGATGGTTTTGCCCTCTGGCGGGACTTCCATCGAACCCTCTGACACGCCAATTCTCCAAAGCCAACCGCCGTTGTTCTCCTCTCCTTCTATAAGCGCTGCATAAGCGTCGTCTGGCAGCTTGTCCCCATCCAACACGTCTTGGCTTTGGGCATCGAGTGTAACACCGCTCACTTTCCACTGGGTTGATTCAGATGCGAAACATGCCTCTATTCTCGGAGATGTACCTACAGCTCTTTCAACTTCTTTAACAAGCTCAGCATCGGACGGCTTGGAAGCTTCTATACGTATCACCAGATTTTCAAAGCTCATCTTCGCTCTTTCGTCTGGATATGAAATGGTGGCTGGCCGGTCCGGGTATCTTTGTAGATGAGATGGTAAGGCGCTCGTCTGCTGTATGGTCTTCTACTGTGCTTAGTGTCTCAGTCGGGGCTTCGCATCTTGGACGTACCTCTGAATCTTCGTGGATCTTATGTCGCTAGTAGATCTGGATTATTTGGTGGAATGACTTGGTCTGTACTCAACCTCGTCGTCCAAAATTTTGTCGCTATTGAGAAGCAAACTAGAGACGACAGCGGGGCGTGCGCCCGAAGTCACGGGACTTCCCCCACATTCGACAACTTTGACGACAAGAAAATAGTTTTGAGGATTGAGGCACAAGCGCGGCCGTTAAATGTTGCCATGATGATGGCGCTGGTATCAATTGGCATCAGAACAATTACTACCGCAGGATGACACTGTTCTCCACATATGCTCATCTGCCAGTCGGACGTCAAAGAAAGTTTGCCTCCATTTTGCCTCCGGTATGCCTCCATTCTGCCTCCAATCTAGCTCCAATCTAGCTCTACCTAGCTTGCTCCTGCCTTTGCTGATCATTTTCACATTCTTTCTACCACATGTCGAACGAGGAGGCACAGGCTGCATTTCTAAAGGGACGCTCGTACGTGGAGATGCATTTGGCCAACGCAGACCGCACTTGTAGTGCTATGGCAAATATCGGTCTTCGCACCCAGAGTCTTTTTCTCTTCCTCACTTGCGAAAAGAGAAATCATGTTCGCGACCATAAGAGGCGAATGGGTGCGGCACGAGAACGAATCGACACTGCAATACGTAGGTCGTGATCTTCACGACCATGTAGCCGTGCCGGCTTCCCCAAGACCTGTCTACACCTTGCACGAACATTGGATTTTCGAGCAGCTCAAAGATAGTGTACATCCTCGTGGACGCCTCAGGAGAACGAACGTCAAGAGCATTGGGGCGGCACACAGCTGGGACACATTCATTGACCTTGACAAGCTTGATCTGCCCTGCGAAGACAAAAGGTCTCTCGGATCAATATGGACGTTACCGTCCGTTTGTACGCGGGCTATCGTGCAGCTTTACACCGGCGCCGACGACTTACACGAGCTGTGGGAAGTCGATGTTGTGAAATACAACCACTTTTACCCTCGTGGATTCTGCCTGCCCGCTGGTCGTAGTGAGGTGGCCTGGCTAGACGCCGACACAATACTTGTCATGTCAACAGTCGGCGGATCTAGACACCAGACTGCTAGTGGCCTACCACGGACAGTACGACGCTGGAAACGGGGTAGTCCAATCGACAATGCCCAGATCATCTTTCAAGTCCATGAGACTCATCTCGCAGCAAGAGCATGGTGTGACTTGAGTGTGCCGAACGAAGAGCTTGTCTTCTTTACCGACGTCGCCAGAGCTTGCACCAGTCAAAGCTATGTTGGCACACGCACAGGTTGTGGCGAACGATTACCTATCCCAAACAAAGCTACCTGGATACATTGGAATACCTACATTGCGTGCTTCCTTTCGGAAGATTGGGTAGTCAACGGAAGTACGTTCAAGGCTGGCACCGTTGTGGGATTTTGTCTCCGACAAACACCGCTTCACATTGCGTCGCTCGTCGTACTTTGCCCAGGCCATGGTTTGCGCACGTCACTGTTCGGCAAAAGCGGTCTCCGACTCCTCTTTACTCGAAACTTCCAAAACTTTGTCCGCACCTTTTACCCTAATGATGAGGGTGACTGGACAGAAGCTGAAGGGCAGATGCTATTCGACTGCCCAGCAATGTCGATATCTGAAGTCTTGGACCTTGGAGGCGGCTGTGACGACGCTCAGCTCCTATTGGCAATTCAAGGGCCTCTGCTGCCGAAGACGCTGTATCTCGCCGGCCGGTCCGGAATTACATGGGTGGAGGGCAGTAGTTGTGACTTTGATACAAGCCGCTTTGGGGCGGTGGTCCACACAACTTTCGCCCTTAATGGTCTCCCTATAAGATATCTCGAGGTCGGACCGGATCGAGCGCCGACAGGTGAGGCTCCGGTATGCATCATTGCATGCGGTCTGGCCACTGCTGGGCCAGAGTATAACGCGGCCCTAGCAGAGCACTGGCTGCGACCAGGAGCCTACCTTGTGTTCGTGAACAACGGCTGTTGCGAAGAAGGCGAATACCGAGAGCGTTCCGCACCTGTTGGAGATCTCCACGCAGTTGCTGTGGACCTCGTCAAGCGTGGTCTAACTCTGTCGGCGCATACGGTCGTCATGGGAGCTCGTAGGAATGGTGCGACGGTAGCCACTATGTGTAGAACATCACAAGTGTTCTTTGGTGCCTTTTGTTCATACGAACCTGACTGGTATGACGCCAGATGGCCCAGTGGAGCTCTAGATCCGCGCACAGCTAGTGACGAGGAGGGCACCTCACCTCTGTTAATCCTGTGCGGCGATGGCAGAGGTCCTAACGGCATCGACAGACATGAGCTTCACGCACGGATTGTGGACAAGCTCCGAATGTGCGGGTACGACGCCAAATACTTTGGCTGCCATAAGGACGGCTCGATGAGCAGTTCGAAGCAATGGCAAATCATTGTGGGTTTCATGCGTAAGGCAGTGGAATGGGCACCTGAGAACAACGTGCCTCACAACGTCGTGGCTTCTACTAGCGAGACCTCTATCGCGTCAGAAACAGTGTGATGGAGCAGACTTAGTTCGTCAAATACTATACACAGCTCTCGATATGTTTTCCGTAGCGTTATGCACCGAGAGACAGAGGTATGGTCGTCTTGTCATCGACCGGCTGGATATTCTGGCAAGACATATGGATCCTTTCAATGCTCACAGAGAGCCGGTGTTGAGCGTCACTCGTGCCATCAGCCCTGAGTGGGAGTCGTTGGCCAGCCACACTCCTATCCATTCTTGATCAAGCTGCAGCGTGGGTTGCGGAAGAAACGCACTGACGGTGTATGACCAATGACAGTCATACACGCTTCACCGTATACGTGGAGTGTGAGTGCAGAAGCTTCGGTCAGGCTGCGTCTCAATCCAATGATTCTTCTGGCATTTAAGATCCATCTGGGTCGGTCTGCCTTGGTATTTACGAGAGCTCAACCGGCTGGCATTGTCTATCACTGGAATTTGCGTTTTATTTGAGACAGGGGGAAAGCGAAAGAGGTATTGTCGCTCACTATTTCAACTTCTTCACCACAACGGGTTGACACGTTCTATGAAAGGGTCCTCCCTGCTTCAGAAAGCAGAGCATGGCTGGCCATGATGTATACTATTGCAAGCCCTGTGATAGAACAATACACCACAAGCACAAGATCCGACTTCACGAAATGAGCGACAGACATCGCAGACACATGGGTCAAGCGCCGCTGAAAAGCCATGTCTGCACATGTGGTAAAGGCTTCGCACACGGAACCCGCCTTAAAACACACCGGAATGGGTGCTCTACCAACGCAGGCTATCCAATAACTGCCGTAGCCGTTCAGAAGGGCAACGAGGCAACGCAAAGCTCTTTCAGCATCACACGGCCTGTTGTGCCAGTGTGTACTCCTCCACCGGAACGCCGTTTGACCGAACCCGTTGACACAGGAATCGAGGAAGTCCCATGTTACAGCAATGCATCGCCCACCATGAACGAACGAGGCCCTGGTCATTTTTGCGTAACCTGCAATGTGAGGGTGTTGCAGTGGGGCACCCACCAGCAGACCGCCAGGCACTGCGAGCTTCTTGGCCGTCCAGTATCGAGGCCGTGGGTTTGCCGGTGTAGTCGTCGCTTCATCCGTCGCTGTCAACTGTTGAGGCACCAAAAATCATGTCCACTGCCTAAGATCGCGAGCGAGGAATGCCCAAGCATGAGCAACGTTGCACGTCTTCCGGACCGCCAGCCTCCTCAGCTGTCCTGTGATATCGAGCATCACAATAGGGCGTTGCATCTTCCACTTCAACGGCAGCCTCTTTGGCCACTCTGGAACTCCAACCACGAAGAGCAGGTGTCGGACGGCGCTCTCGAATCAATCAAGACCAATTCCGAACACGAGGCCGATGAAAGGTGCACCGGCGACAAGACTGAGCAGCGCGAAGATTGTATACTAAAAAAGATCTTGAACAAGCTCGAATCTATCGCCAGTCGAGAGGAGAGAAATGAGATTTGGGGCGTTTAGGAAGCGAATTGGATAGACGAATTGGATGGTCGAATTGGTTCGTAACGGTGGTTTTCGATGGAATGGGACAGATAGTTTGCCGAATCAACCTCAGTGGCCCAGGTGTGCTCTTAGCCGTCTCTTAGTCTACTACTATCTCTGGGGAGAAGTTTCGCCATGTCATGACCTCCCACCTCAATTCTTCTCTTGCACGATCCTTGAGCTTGATCGTGTATGCACCACTGTTCGACTCGACTCCGCCCTTGCTGCTCGAGGTTGACGGCGTTGCCTTGACGTCCAAAATAGCAACATCACGTGCTCGTCAAGGCTGCGGCGCGTCCCTCAGACTCTCGCGCGACTCGTCGGAGCCGGCAGCCCATGCGTTGCTGCCTGGTGCACCTGTGCCGGTCTGACTCGTGCTCGGAAGTGCTCTTTTGCGGAGCAAGAGACCCAGTGACTGCGAAGCACGCTGCAGACGTTTTGAGAACCAACAGAGCCCGGCACTCCTCTGCCACTTGCAAAAGGTGTCTGAGATCCAATGAGTAGGTCCACGCCGCTCCAGCCTGCAGCCGGACATCCGACGCACCATCGCCCACCACTCATTTCCACCCCAACAACGTCGCGGCTGAGCAGCTCGACATCCCTAAGCCATCGCAGCTGGCAGCTGCGCAGGTGTCGTGGACCGCAGGCGGCACAGCGACGCCTCCACGCATGCGATTGGCGGCCTCTGTTTCATCTCCACCTCTTCAGTAGGTGCGGTGACATATGTCGCGGTCGACGTCTCGTCGCCTTCCGGGAGCAAAGCCGACGTCCAGAGCGCGCGTTGGCAAAGACAGGCGACAGGGAAGCCGGCGGCGGCGATGGGCAGGTGATGGGCGACGGCGTCGTTACGGCTAGGGCCCGCGTGTGAGGGCGACGAGGACGTCGGGCGGAAGACCACGGGTAGAGGAGGTCACAGGGAGGTCGGTGTCGGGGCGCAGGTGTGTGTACTGTAGCAGCGACGAACGCGGTGTCCGTCCGAGGCTCCGTAGAGGGGGACGACGTGGGCGGGCGATCTCGAAGGGGACGGCGCCAAACCCGATCGGGGTCGCCCCGTCCCCAGACTACGGAGGATATTAAGCGAAAGGGAGGCAATATATCACGTTGTAAAAGTTGTGGTTTGTTACCAAAATCTCGGGGTCATTCTGACTCTTTTTGATCACCCCTGTGTCGCTGCCTTCCACCAGTATCCAGTTTTATCCGCGTCTTCCATCATCTGGGCTCTCATGTGCAGAACATAATCGTGCTCCCCTACGCGACGATTCGCACCCTCATCATGGTATCTAAACATCTCCACGACCACAACGAGCACCGCGTTTCAAAACGACGACAATTGAGTGGACACCGCAAGACCAAACGGCTCGCGCAGGCCGCGAAAGAACGCGAACCCCAGCCCATCCACCGTCTCCCGTCTCCGCCGAGCGATCAACCAGTGCATAATTTCAAGAGGAAGTCACCCTTCGAAAACGAGCATTCCACTCGAGAAGGATCGCTACAGAAGAAGAATCGCAGATTTGGCTGTTTCGACTCGTTAGACAAGAGCGGAGTCGACGAGGACAACCAATACGGTGGAGAAATTCGCTGGGAGGATTACTTCAGTGACTGGCCGCCAGCTGTAGTAGAGCAAACTATGAGCACGCGGGAGCCTCGAGCAGCCAAGCGCTCTCACACGCCTTCACGATCGGCCAGTGATAGCCAACGTGTTCGAGATGGAGATTCTCCAGCCGCGTGGACGAGGAAACATGAGGAGAAGATGGAGGAAGCAGGACTATTCATGACAGCGGATCGAACTCAGGCCGCTATCACAGAAGAGTGCCAAAAGCTGTGTGAAAAATTGCTTCAGGCTGAATACGCCATGCCAGCAGACGCACCTTACAGACAAGACCGTCTAGCAAAGGTGCTAAGACGATTTCGCAACGAAGCACGAGTGGTACGCGATGTGACGCCAATCGTGGTTCCGTCCCCTGAACTGCTACATATTGATGGGCATGCCGAGCTGGACGATGTGTGCGAAGCGATGAATGCGGAATGGACGCAATCCGACACCTTGTGTGGCCCGAGACCCAAACCAGATTTCGTAACCGGCTTATCGGCTGCTGCTTTCACAAAGGAGGAGAGAGAAAAGCTCCAGATGAGTCACACGAGTGCATGCCCCAACCTGTTCCCGGAGAACATGTACTTTCCTTTTCTTATTGTGAGGTGAAGGGCAGCGATCGTCCAATCGAGGAGGCGGAACGGCAGGCCATGCACAGCGCCAGCATCGCGACTCGAGCCGTGGTAGAACTGTTCCGGAAGATTTCTGCAACGGCTGAAGTCCACGAGAAGATTCTCGCGTTCTCTGTCGCCCACAATCATTCGATGGTGATGATCTTTGCCCACTTCGCGACCGTTAACGACCAGCAGACATCCTTTTTCCGCCGCTTGCTACATCTTCACCGCTTCGCAGAGGATCTCGAATCTACGGCCTGGACCAAGTCGTATCAGATCATTCGAGCTATCTACGAACACTTCGTTCCTCGACATCTCGCCCGAATCCAGGGAGCGCTCTCGAGAATGCGAAGCCCATCACTTGCATCGTTCGCAACGCAGCTCGGCATCGACGAGGACTCCCAAGCATCGACACCTGATCAGTCGTCGTCGCAAGAGGACGGGCGATTCAAGAAGCCTTTGCTTCCTTCGATGACGAAACTGCAAGAGGAGAATGATAAGCTGCGTGACAGGCTTTTGGAGCTGCTGCGGGAACAGCAAGCCGAAGCCATCAGGCAGAGGCAAGAACAGCATGAGACAAAGGCGATGATGGAGGAACAGCTGGCCCAACAGAAGACGATGATGGAGAAACAGCTGGCCCAGCAGGAGGAGGAGTCTCGCGAGCAGAAGACGATGATGGAAAAACAGCTGGCCCAGCACAGGGAGGAGTCTCGCGAGCAGAAGACAATGATGGAGACACAGCTGGCCGAACAAAACGAACGCTCACATGAGCAGAAGATCATGATGGAAGACCAGCTAAAGCGGCAGAGGGAGCAGATGGAGAAGCAGTTGGTCCAGCAGGAAGAAATCATCACCCTATTGAAGATGTCAAAACCATCTTGAGTACCATGCAGTGTACAGTCTCGTGCACGAAGGACTCGAGGAAAGATTGATGAATTCGAGACTATGTCGCCAGGCTTGAACATCTACAGTATTTGGGAAGGTGTCTCGACCACAATCTGTACGGAATTACTTCAATGCCGGCGGAGAGTGGTCTTTGCCAAGGAGGCATCCAGTTCCGGATGCCTCCTTGGTGCTCGCATGCCGCGGGACTTGAAGGTTACGTCATCCGACTCTCCCCTTGGATCCGATTCCGAGAGACCATGCCAAGGAGACACCCAGTTTTCGATGCCTCCTTGGCACTCACATGTTGCAGGAGGTGGAAGTGACGAACGAAGAAAAATATTGTCTCGTAATTTGGTCCTCTGGTCGCCTCGTCATCACTACTACTCCTCGCTGTCTGCGACCTTCACGACCTATCACGCACTCTCTGCACCTCACGCCACCAGCATCTACGCCATGAGACTAGTCTAAGTTACTCAACCTTAGCAGCTTCGAGTTTACCGAGTTCTGCGACACCAATAGACCGCCGTACGTAATCGCATCGCATCGATGGCAGGACGAGAAAGCCACGTTTGAAGACGTGTAAGGCTGGCGCAACACGCACAAAAGAGATTATTAGCATGAGGCGACTGATTCAAACTTGCAAATACAAATTGGTTCGACCCTTGAACAGCTCAAGCTGCAAATCATCCAATACAGCATTCTACTATAGTACGAGAGAATCGCACGAAATGATTTCTTTCTAGAAGATAAGTCGGTCTTTCAGTGACCAGAAGTGTTCCTCAAGTAACATTGCCGCAATTACATCGTCCTCAAGTAGCCGCTGCTCCTTATTAACCTCTACATCGCCGTTAGCTTTCGCCCAGAGCTTCGCGCCACGCAAAATTCGATCGTTGTTGAAGATGGACTGCGGTATGTCACGTTTGTGGAAGTCTAGACCATTTCGGGCTGCATTTACCAAAGAGTTAGTCATTGAGATGCAGCGCTCTGCTGGCATCGAAGTGCAAGGCGTAGCAAAGAGTCTTTTTGCAACCTTCGCAAGAGCTGGGCATGGTCCAGAGGTATTGTTCTTTCTCTCACATCTGTATCTGTTTCTTCCAGATCTTGTTCGAGATCATTCTCGGAGATGCTTTGATCACTCACGGAAATCGTTGAATTTGGGGTGTTCGGGGCGCTGGAGATGCTTAGATTCATTTGGCTTGGGCTAGAATCATGCCTCCAACGGCTGCCGTATCTTCCGTCGGTGTACTATTTGGTGACATGGTCGCGTTTGTCAATCGCACAAGTAGAACTAACCTGGAACCCGGCGGAGGCATATCGGTCTCGGCCAAGGGTACCTGAGGAACTTATGAGCCGGTTACGACACATAACGTCTCTCCCTACATTGGGGGACGCACTATGTCCCGGGACGCTAAGCCACTATGGCTTAGCAATCCAGCTGGCACGTGGCTGAAGTCCACCGGCTGTGGCTCATGCATTGACGTCAGTAGGATGGCTCATTAGAAAGTCAAGAATATCATCTCGAGATCTACTGTAAACTCGGACACTATACAGCAACTTCCAGTGCAGTATGTCCACCTCAAATACAGGAACAAACGGCGACCTCGCTGTGCCCGACCTTCTTTTCCGCTGCTGCTCAGATAAGAGCGTAGGACGCCTGCTGTGTGGGCAGCTAATTGCAGACGGGGGCACGTCAAACCAGGATACTGATCTGACGGCTGAATTTCTAAACCACAAGAACCTTTTAAACAGGCGGGTCACGAGGCTCATTTCCTCAACTACAAGTCTACTTTGGGTGCTTCAACTCGCGTTTCAAAAACAACATGCTGGAGAGAGCAATATTGAGATCATATTCATCTCGCCGCACGACTCTCCACTAGGCGAGGTTTTCCACGCGCCGAATTTGGCGAGGCAGTCTGGGCTAAGCAGTGAAAAAGCTAGCTACTATGAGCACGAGTACCTCTGGCATTGGAAGATCCCGGAAGAGTGTATACACGCCCGTGTCGACCTAAAGGTTTTGGAGAGCAGAGGACTGACGTTGACGACTCTAATCGGCTCATTCAAGAAAGAGTTACCGTTTCCTAGGCTTTCCGAGTTTTCCTCAAAATTCAAAAATTTCTGGGTGGAGAACGAATTTATTGGAAGGTCTTTTGCTCTGGCTACAGCTGCGTGTCGATTTGGATATGATGCCCCAGTACGGCGAATCTTCTGGATCTTGTTTGAGAATAGCCTTAGGGCAGGGGAGGGATGGGGACAATTCTCTAACGACATTCAAGAGATTCTGACTGATGAGCTGTGCTCCCTAGCTGCAGATGTTAGTGCTCGCATGCTGGACTTTGACACAGATCTTGCGGATCTAAGCTGGGAATGGCACTTACTTCATTACGAGCATGCTGAGAGGCTCAACGAGTTGGTGTACCCCTTGTTAGAAGATGCACCAGCTCTCGACCGCCAACTTCAAGAGGAAAATGACGCTTTTGAGCACAGCACTCAGCATCTACAAAAGTGTCTACGAAATATTCGCATAGAAATTGGGCATTGATGCAGCTCTACTATATAGCATCAAGGGATGAAATTGTCCCTCCTGGTCAGCGTGCTCGGGTGATCAGACTGGCTCTCTTCGCCCTACTCACCGGATTTGAGCGAAGTAACTAAGAAGGAGAGGATCCTGGCGGTGTCTCAGATCGCGCTGTGCGCAGCCAGATCTCGACTCAGTCTTCATACAACGCCAGATAAGTTTCAGACAATACAACAAGAGACATTCACAAGGCAAATAAGTCATGCTACGTCCTGTCGCGAGAAGAGACCGACCTGTCTTCGACAGGCTAAGATTCAAGAAACTGCTTTGACGAACGAACTATAACTATGTTGTGCACTTAGTCAATTCATTTAAAACAAAATTCGACAATAGATGTCTGTGTCGCGGGAGGTCGATTACATCACGTCCGTCAACATATTAAACGCGATGAGGACTGCACGAAAATCGACGATAATCGCGATAGAGGGTGTTGAGTGCACAAAGATTGACACGAAGCAGGTTCAGGGGGCGCGGCAGTCTTGAAACTATTGTACAGATTCTTTGTGTTGCCTCGCATCCGCAACCAAAAGCGATTCGCGCTTGGAAACAAACAAATCACCACATCTTTGCAACTGGAGCCACGAATGGGTTGACGCTGACCATGTCTGCCGCTATTAGCATCTGCTCATCGCCTTGCGACCCTGCGATGCTCGAATTCTGCTCGCCAAGTCTGCCCACCTTTGCAGCAGGCTCTACGAGTGGAGATTTTAGGGCACGCTTTTTCCTGGATTTTGCTTTCGTCTTGTCTCGGGCAGCCTCCTTCTCGAGTCGCTTCGTTCGTGCTTCAACGAGATCTTCAAAGCTCATTACTTTTGCTTTCCCGAGCACAAGTGATTTGGTTGATCGTCGAGCTTTCGCTTCATTATTGGCATTGAGTAAGAAGCGAATCTGGTCCTTCTGGATTGCGGTCTCAGCGAACGATGAATGGGCAGCTTTAGCTAGTTTTCGAAGATGCCTCTGAAGATTTTGTTTGCTCGACTCGTCAAGTGTACTAGCATCTCGTGATACAATTATCTTCTGCAGAGACATAAGCGCCTCCACAGACACTGGCGTAGCTGGTGTGGCAGGAGGTTTCAACACTGTTTCATCTCGCATGTATGTCAAAATCTGCTCTTGATCGGCCGTCAACGCCTCAGGGGGAGGTCTCGGCATATCTCTGAGCACTCTATCTGGATTGAACGGGAACAAGCCAGCTTTACTCCACCCTGCGAGGATATTCCTCTTGGTGAAGGCTGCTTCTCGCGCAGGGCTGTACAAGGCGGTGAAATGCTGCTTGCCGATCGTGTTTACTCCTGCTCGCTCCATTTGATCTGCTCTATCTCGATATGCTGATTTTAAAGGAGCAAAGACTGCAATGTCACATGGCTGGAGCTTGTGGGACGTGTGAGATGGCAGGCGGCAAAGTATGATGTTATTCGCGAAGCAAAATTCGAGGACTTCGAGGGTCTCATGTGTGCCGAAGCCATCACAGATTAGTACTCGTGGTTTGTCGTTAGCACGTTCCCTTGTTTCGCAGTCGAACACACGTTTAAGCCACTCTAAGCTGATGTTGGAATCGGTGTACCCCGACTCAGAGCACGCGTAGTGCCAGCCGGGAGTAGGAAATGTAGTCCAATTACTTCGATGAGTAGTAGCAGGCCAAATGACCATAGGGTTCAGATACCTACCGTCGGCGCTAATGCATTCGATCGCGGTTATGGTACTGCGATTCACTTGTGCACCTCTGTGGCTCTGCATGTCATCCCTGCCCACGAGAACCTTTACGGAACCATGCATGGAAAGCATGACTCCGGTCTCGTCCATGTTGTAGACATTCTCGGCAAGTATGCCTGGGTCTCGAAGAAGCGGCTCGATCACTTCATACCAATGCTTGCTTTTTGGGTAGATGTGTATTCCATGGCGTTTCCAATCTAACGCACCGACTCTTCTCGATCTGAGCTCCGGGTGGCGGCTCTCAAGACCCTTCGCCCAGTTCTTACCCGGTGGCTTTGCTGGTCTGTTAGACTTCGGTCTGTGACGTGTCGCACTAAAAGCGAGGGAAGGTATGTGTTTGATGCGAACGGGGCGTCCGAGATCTGACATTTGCAGCAAGAACCCGACGACCGCCTTCTCTTCGCCAGCTGTGAGGTACTGTTGACTCTGGGCCTTCTCCTCGATTGAGCGTCGTCCGTGGGCGCGATAATGGAGTGTGGAGCGAGGCACCCCGGTGTGATCTGCAAGGGCACGATACGAGTTGGGTACGTCGGGAGGAGCACCTTGCGCTAGTGCTCGGCTTGCGTTATCCATGTTGTGAAGCGTTTACCACGAAAGGAAAGGGGTGGGAATGGTAGGGAGAGGAAGAGCGCAGCGACGCTCTCGTTGCGCTCAAGCGAGCGACAATGCGACGTGTCCTTAGAACCTTCCAGAATCTCCAGACAATGCGCCACGAAGAGCGCCACAAAGCCACTTCGGACGCCACTTTCTGAGCTACCATTTTGCATCCTTTTCGACGACAACACCATCAACTCGTCTCAGAACTCCTCCAAACTTTCCACACAGCCTCTCTAAATGCGAATCAACTTCCATGTTAGTCGAAACACCAGTGACGCTTCGGAGAGCCGAGTAAACGACGATCCAAGATCCGGGCAATCCTGACGCCGACAACAAATCGGATCATCGACCCACGTACGAAGCATATTATCTCAAGAAACTTGGGTAGATTGAAAAGGAATACTATTCTATTAGAGAAAAGTAGCAGGATTGACGATTCAATGAAAATGCGTTGTATAAGGGAAGACCTCGGCCCACGCGTCCCGGGACATAGTGCGTCCCGTGATACAAGGAGAGACGTTACTCGTTTCCGGCGATATCTTCGTGACATCGTTCACGACACGGCGGATGAACAAAGATCTGTGGACAGTGGGCACGGATTTCAAGGATCAGCCGCATGCTAAATGGAGCTCCGTTGGAACAAGGGGCAGATGTCAGGGGTTCAGACTCGAACAAAGCCGGTGGATGCCAAGCAGAACTTGACCGGCAAAAGAGAATTACGTCATTGCCCTTTCCCATCCATATTTTATTCTGTGGTTCGGACAGCCAAAATCGAGGTCACCGGATTTCCCGCTAATCGATGAGCTTAACAGTAGATTTTTATTCACGTCCTAGTTCAGAAAGTCCACGATTGAATGTTCCTACTCGAAGAAGTTGAAGCATTTCATTCATTGTTTCAGGCTGTGTTCCGTCTGCGAACCCCCCGAGCTATTAGCACGTGATATCCCCTTGCACGGGTATATATTGTCTCTCTGCACAAACGCCGTCATGCTGGGTTCATGGATCCTGCAATTTACTTCAGTATTGCATTCCTAACCTCTCTCTGCATCACTTGGCTATGTTTGCAATTATTTGAACTCGCTACCCGCGCATGGGGCCCAATAGAGCGTTGGCTTCGAAGGCATATCATTCTGCCACGAGTTCTCCGCGGCCAACATTTACTCAATCCCACCCGCATAGAGGTCATTTCCTATGTATTTCACTGGACATGTATGGCCTTATTCAACACATACAAGGTCTCGAATGCACGTGAAGCTGCATCTAGGGCGGCCTACGCGACTGTCGCCCATCTCCTTCCTCTTGTCTGTTCGGGCCAATTGAGCTTCGTCTCTTACAGCTTCGGGATTCCAGGATCTGTAGGCCTTAGCTTCCATGAAGCCTTTGGTTGGATGGCCGCCGTGCAAGGAGCTGTGCACAGTATAATCAAGCTACAGGACAAAGGTGATTGGACCGTGCTGACGAAGGCTGGCCTTGTGGTATGTTACATGAACACACTTGGAATCTAAGCCTAGCTCACGATTGATAGGCACTCTGCAGTCTTCTGGCGTTATCGTGTCTGCCATTTGCAAGGAGTCTTGCGTACGAAATATTTCTTGTTACGCACCAATTGCTAGCTATCACCTTCGCCCTTGCTCTATGGCTTCACGTCCAGTCTCTAAATAACATAGTCCGGCGGCTATGTTTCATTGCATTGCTTCTGTTCATTGCGACTTCATGCTACAGATATGCCAGGCAAGTTTACGGAAACCTTGTCCCCATTCGCGAAGCGATGAGACTCATACAAATTGAAGAAGTCCGAAAGCTAGATGACTCCTTAATCCTTGGACTACATTTCCCAAGGAGCTGGAAAATACGCCCTGGGCAGCATTTGTACCTTACTGTTCTTACCTCCAGGAGCGGATCGATACTGCAGAGACATCCTTTCACTGTCACATGGTGGAATGCGTCACAGGAACCTCGAATGTACTTAATGATCCGTGCGCAACGAGGATGGACAAAGAGTATATTGGATCGCCCCGATCTTCTGAAGTCACGGAAGGTGTGGCTAGACGGCCCATACGGAATGCCAATATGCCTCGAGAACTACGGAACGGTCATTCTCTTCGCGTCCGGGGATGGTATCTTTGCGCAGTTGCCGTTTCTGAAGGCGGTCACAGAGGCATGCAAATTATCAAGAGCAAGAACCAGGAGAATCAAGCTTGTTTGGCTGACGTATGATTTCAACGAACAGGTACGGGAATGGATTCAGACTATCCTCAATGACAAAGACCTATACCCAGGTGTAAGTTCACAGTGCCATGACCGGACTCGTAAAGAGCAAAGGGAAGGCAAGTGCGCTGACCCCTACTACTAGCTTCTGGATTTATGCGTCCACGAACCAAACACCCAAATGTCTTCCAAAATCAAAAGTCGTGGGAGAAGAGTGAAAATAGTCCATGATATACCGAATGTGAGGAGCTACTTGCAATTAGAGCTTAACCATCCGGAGACTGAGATAGCGGTTACTGGTGAGTCTCGGCATAACCATTAGTCGGCCATTGCTGACGAGATAGTCTCTGCATACCCACTGCTGCGCCAAAGCGTGCGAGACGAAGTTCTTAGAATCAACAAATTCCAGATGCGGCTCTTTGAGTTGGACTACCAACCGAATGATAAAGATCAGTACGATGGTGGTATCTGCGCTTAAGACTGAGGAGAGCAGAACGAGAGCACCGCCTTTGCTGTCGTTCCATATATGTTTGGCCTGTCACTCCGTAGCACGGAAGATTGGACGAAGATTCTTGGATTCGCTTCATCACCCTGTATTTAGACAACCTCTTCCCCGTGAGTTGACACTGGCAAGTGAACTCTTTTCACTGAATCTCAATCTTCCAGGCAAGTTCTATTGCTGACTATAAGAACGACATTTAGATCTGTCTGCCACGACGTGACTTTGCTTTAGATCATCAGGTATGCCACACTTATTCTCTCAGTCCTCGATCTACTTGATCCAGCCTGTCCGCGACCTCAAAGTTGATCTCGGTTGGCATGAAACACATGGACGGCGAGAAAGTGCATATCAATACAGTAGAAAATACGTACAGTATATAGAAAATGCCTTGATTTTCCTATTCTTCTGATCCCGCGAGACCAAGGTCGTCCGACAGATACCATCCTGTACTTACGATTTGTTCCGCTGTCGGCGGCCATGAATTGCTCTCATGGGACGCATATATAAAATTGGTGGTGAAGGGCGGCAACATAGACATGAGCCTTAGTGTCCCGTGCGAGAACGTCTGCTTTTCTCCACCCTCCATCGTGCCTGAAACGTCTCCTGGTCTCACGTCTCCTCCAAATCTCGTAACCCTGCCGTCGACGTCCCTCCCTGCCGTCGACTGCCTACTCTGCCGTCGACGTCCCTCCCTGCCGTCGACGTCCCTCCCTGCCGTCGACGTCCCTCCCTGCCGTC